AACACAAATTTTTAAAATTTCAATCATTCATAAACCTTCCCTGGGGTCCCTAGATGTCCCACAAAAAATTTGGGCCCGATCGGTTCAGCCGTTTTGACGTTTATTGGATACAAACAAACAGACAGACAAACAGACAAGCCAAATTTATATATAGATATATTTTTTTTCTTGCAGGAAAACCATTGGCTGAATCTCGGGGGGAAATAGGATATGGAAACTCATACATTGAGTGGTTTAGTGAGGAGGCTAGAAGGATTAATGGAGAGGTGAGTGGTTTAGTGAGGAGGCTAGGAGGATTAATGGAGAGGTGAGTGGTTTTGTAAGAAGGCAAGAAGGATTAATGGAGAGGTGAGTGGTATAGTGTGGAGAATTAATAGAGAGGTTAGTGGTATAGTGAGGAGGCTAGACGGATCAATGGAGAGGTGAGTGGTTAAGTGTGGAGGCTAGGAGGATTAATGGAGAGTTGAGTGGTTTAGTAAGAAGGCTAGAAGGATTAATAGAGAGGTGAGTGGTATAATGAGGAGGTTAGGAGGATCAATGGAGAGATGAGTGGTGTAGAGAGGAGGCTATAGGATTAATGAATGGGTAATTAGTAGAGTGAGAAGGCTAGGAGGATTAAAAGAGAGGTCAGTGGTTTAGTGAGGACTGAGGAGGCTAGGAAGATTTATAGAGAAGTGATTGGTTTAGTGAGGAGGCTAGGAGAAATAATGGAGAGGTGAGTCTAGAATTTAGATATCTTTGCAGTCTGATATCGCCGACTCTTAAAATTTTAATTTCCATTCTTACATGGGCTGAGCGTTAAAGAATTAAAAGATAATATTAGGACAACAGTATTCTTATTAAAATGTCATGAAATGTGTAATGTTTACTAAATGTCTGAAAGGGACTGTAAGTGTATTTTAAAATCACCCTTCATGCAAAGATGATAATGCCTGATTCACAATAGTACCCTTAAAAGATTTGTCTTATCAAGCATGAATTAGATTTTGATGTCCATAATGTTAAAAACTGACGTTTTTTATTAGTGGTTTAATGAATATTTACTAAATGTCTTAATTTGCTGGTTTTTATTTTTATTTTGTGGGGTTAATTTCATAATTCTTCTTGTTAAGATTGTGGCAGGTACAACACGAACCAAGGAGATGATGTTTATCCGTCAACCAATTGGAGTTGTTGGTATGATTACTCCATGGAATTTTCCTAATGCTATGATCACAAGAAAGGTAAATAAAGTCCACATCTCCCCGCCCTCAAATTTTTCTTAATCTTTTTAAATTGAGGACTTTTCTTAGTTTGAAAGTAATTAACAGATGGGACAGTTTGCCAGAGCCCAGAAGATATAAAAATGCCTATTTATTGATAGGTTTTAAGAATATAAAGAATGTGTATGATTAAAATATTCCAATAATATGAAAGGTGTCCAATTTAATGCAGGGGCTCCAAAATCCGTGGTGAAGGTGTCATGGGCGCACTTATCTCTGGTGAAAGTGTCAGGGGTGCTCACACTTTAAGTTAAACATTCTCAAGTACTAAACAATGATACATTGACTATAGGTTGACAATATATATTGACTGACAATGCCCCAATAGCAATCCAGTAATTCAGTATTGTGTTGCATTTTTATGATTACATTATTTTCATTTATTGGAGAAGTAAATTTGGTAATTTTCTGTAGGACTAAACAAGAAATAAAAATATATCGAAATCAATTTCCACAATCTCGAGTTTTTTTATCTTGAGAATTAAAAAAAAAATTTCAGTAAGTTTACAGTTTATAATATAAAACATATATGTTAACGAAGGATGTTCATAAGTAACCAGCCGCTTTGTAATTTAATTTTTAACATTTTAATAAATGTTTTTTATTTAAATAATGTGACAATTTTACAATGCCAATTTATTACTAACTAGACATTTTCTAAAAACAGTTTGATCTTTTAATGGTCGGTTTTCAAGTCGCCACTTCTTCAAAATTCACGGATTTTACTTTTCAATGGATTTTCAAAAATTTAAATTACATTTTTCTTGGCACATCTTTTTTCATTTATGACTAATATTATTAACCTATCTTGAGACATGAGAGTGAATTTTTGGGCCCAATCAATTTAGCCATTTGGACATTTATTGGACACAAACAGACAGACAAAATCCATTTTTTATGAACACCCTCTTTAAAAAAAATAAGACTTACGTTTGATTGATTAATAGGTAGCAGCAGCAGTAGCTGCTGGATGTACATGTGTGGTCAAACCTGCTGAAGACACTCCACTCTCAGCTTTAGCTTTGGGTCTTCTTGCAGAACAAGCAGGATTCCCTAAAGGTAATGACCATACACGGTTTTTCAAGTGAAATTTCTTTTTATAAGATCACAATTTGCAACAATGGTCAAGAACTCCAACAAAAAAATGATGTTTTAACTTGTTAGATTTAAATGTTATTTTTTAAATCATCTTTATCTATCAATGGTCGTGAACACATTTTCTTTTTAAAAATGGTGTGCAAACTGTACTCGGAACATGGTATGCAGATTGCAGATCTCAACTCCTAAAAGTTCGAATTAGATAACACAGCATTAGATAAATAAAACAGTTCTGAATTTTTGGTGTTCTACCATAATAAATGGATTTCTTTTTCACGAGCATAAAGACTTGCAATACTCCTGTATATCAAGTCTATTAGTGTCTGATCCAATCAGGGTTAAGTCATGTGTTTGTTGTCAACTCTGAACCAACAGAAATAGTATGGCGGTAACATCTATCTTTCTATTAGCTCATTATCCAATTAGAGATATGAATCCTTCAATCAGCGCTATCGGTAAAGGGAAATATTTACTTCTGCAGAGCCTGAGATTTAAAACTTTGACTTGAGTAATAATTCCTTAAACCCGACTTTAAGACCCAATCTTTGACCCAACTTTGACGACAGTTTGTGTCACGTGATTGACATCTGCAAGATCTTCAGCTCGACTGAAGGAGTAAGGCCCAATGAAATTAAAACAGACCTTGGTTGGTTTTAGTAGAGAATAAGGCTCAGTGTTGCATCTTGTTCTCATAAAAACCAGGAATGCGCCAATTCCTGCCATGAAAATCCGCCAAATAGAATATAAAACCAGTTTTTTGAACTCAACTCTGTGGAAAATAAGATGCAGCTTGAATCTGAAAGCTCAAGCTGTAAATAAGGCCCAGCTACAGCTTAGACTCGAGCTGTATTTTCCCAAATTTCTAAGTCGCGGGCTCTGAAAATATAGTGACTAGTAAATTTGCTAAAATTCTACTTTTTCCCTATGTCTAAGTTGGGGTGATACTTCTTGAAAATTATAGATATTTTATGTCCTAAAATTGTTTTTAAAAATTGAATGAGAATATTTATTTTTGTTGACTCCCGGTAAGAAACCCTTGGTATAGTACAAATCCTTTAACTTCAAGGAAAAGTATTTATTCCCTTTTCCCATGATATCCAATAATGGGCTTGGCCTAGATCATATTGAATCATGATTATGTATCCTAAATTTTACAGTATTTAAGGAAGGTTATTCATAACTTTGAGGTGATCAGTAATGAAGTAAATAAAGTACTACTATAATTATCTTTTCATTTTGATAAAGATACCAGAAATGGAGTACCTTTTGAGTTGACTCTCATTATAGGTTATAAAGTACTTCTCATGCTTTATTACTTTTGTGAAGGTACTGACAGGACCTTCATGCATCTGGTAAGTGTGCAGCGGGTTTGTGGCAGTAAGCCATTGAACTTGACCCATGCTTGGTGGTCCACACTTTGGCTCAGTGTGGCCAACCGCCAATGACACCCTGCTACTTCCTTTTGGCAAGGAACTTCGCACTTAACAAACAAATGTTGATGGGATGTTTTAAAAATAGGAAGAGGTCCAGACTGAAAAACCAGGACACGGAAAGGACTTGAACCTCAAATCCATTACTGGAGTCCATTGCCATCCCCGCCCCTTGTGATTTGATTTGATTTGGGGTAGTGCTGTGACGTGGGCTCTACCCTAACCTCTCTTCGGACTGATGGGTGACTGTTATATTTATTTATTTATTAAATTAAGATTGCCCTTTTTTCACTCTTATTATGATAAATTCTTCAAAAATAAGGTCTACTATCAACTGAAATGATTTTAGGGAGTTTATTTATAGCACTAAAACTAACACATTTATTCTTTTCTCATGAGTTTTCAAAATATGTTGCAATAGAATAAGGAAACCCTTTTTCATTCTTATGTGTGATTGATCTGAAGTTTTTTGGTGCTTAATACTGGTCTTCCTTCTTGAGCATATAAAGATCTACCGATTAATCTAAGAAGCCTCACCCCCAAGCAGAAATATGTATCAAAGTGAGAAAATAGAAGTAGTCTGAAATTCATAGAACTATAATATCAAAATATTGCAGTATTCCCCTTATAAAGGCCCCCTACAGAAGAATGGAGGTGATATTATTGTATTTGAAGAGTATTTATGAAAATTATAGCCTAGATATTATCACAACAATATTATTATTTTTCATAACTATAAAGTTAACCTACTGCTTAAGCAGTCTTGTAAGTATAAATAAGTTTGAATTTTAGTAGGTTTCAACTGCTTTCAAATTAAAATACCAAAAAAAACCGATAAAACCCATTGGGCTGGGGGTTTTTTTTGGAAAAAACAGGGGTTTTTTCCAACCCCACTTGTGACATCGAGTTGTGAAGCAGGAAGGAAGGAGATAAGGAAGTTTGAAGGAGGAAGGAGGAAGGATATGAGGGCTTTCAGTAGAAGATCCCTGCTTTCCTTCATTTTAACTTGTCTTTCCAACTTTAGTAGAATTAAGGAAACCCATAAATGCACTTCTTTTGCAAAATGGGGAGTTGAAAGCCTTAAAGCCCCATCATGTGGAATCAGTAATCCAGTCCTCACAGCCAGTCGAGTAAAAACCAGCATCATTGTGCATGGGTTGTATACCTATCAGGGGTTATACTTCTGTGTTCCTTCTTTCAGGTGAGATGTTGAGCCAAGATAAGCTGAAGATGGAGTTCTTGTTTACTGTTTAAATCCTATCTTTTGCTACTCCCCTATAGGATGAGTCTTGAGCAACTCTTTGTAGTGCTCTCTGAACTGTGAAGCCGGGAGCTACTATTGGCAGGTCCAACCCCTTGCCGTGAGCAGAAAGCAACTGCCTGTATTACTTTAAAATTGTTTAATCATCACTTATAGAACAATAAAGAAGGATGATTGATTCTGCTGAAATTTAAGATTTATAAAAAGTTGATGTGATAATTATTTCTTAAAGGAGGATATTTTGTTTCTTTCTGTTTAGGAAAAAGGAAAAAGAAAAGGATAGAAAAAAAAGCAAATAAAAAGCAAATAAAAAGGGCAAGAGAAGGGGGAAGACAATAAGAGGAAGAAAGGGGAAAGGAAAAAAACAATGAAAAAGGAAGATCGGTAAAAGGAGGTTATAAGGAAGATAAATTAGGTAAGGGAAGAGAACTTGAAGGGAAAGGATAGATATAGAAGGCAAAAGGAAAGATATGGAAAGGAAAGAAGGGGAAGGTGAATGCAAAGGCAGGAAAGGTATGGATGATGCTCTTAACCTTTTATCTAGCTTTCCCTAAATGTCACACAGGTTTCCAGAAATAATCTTATATTTTTTTAATAGTTCTAATGCAGTGAAGAAGAAAAAACAAGCTTAAAATTGTTTCCGCTTCCCTCACAACTTTCGTAAATTATTTATTAGAATATATTTTTCAGAAGTCTTGAGTACTCAAAAAACCAAGCAGTATAAGGGTAAATTATAGATTCCAGACAATATAAATGTACTTCAGGTACTCCTGGACTGAAAATTGAGAAAGTCCAACTTCTTTGAGAGTGCCAGGGTACTCAAAATTGAAGTAAAATAAATAAATTTGATTGCAGCACTGGTATGATTCTAAAGAAAAAAAATAAAATTTATTGAACTAAATCGTTCAATGACAGCAGTGATGTCACCTTGTACATCTGCCTAGAAATTGAGTTTACTCAACCTTTGTCATAATTTTGACCAAAAGTTTGGTAAAATTAATTATAATACTTTTATATAATAATTTGTTGTTTAGGAGTAATGAATGTTGTAACTAGCAGAAGACACACTCCTGAAATTGGTAAACTCCTATGTGAATCTCCCAAAGTGGCTGGTATCTCATTTACAGGTTCTACCCAGGTAAACTCCTTTGGGAATATCCTAACGTAGCTGGTATCTCTTTCATAGGTTCTACTCAGGTAAACTCCTTTGTGAATCTCCTGAAGTAGCTTGTATCTTTTTCATAGGTTCTACCCGCGTAAATTCCTTCTTAAAGCTTCTAAATAGGCTGTTATCTCTTTTATAGGTTCTACCCAGATAAAATCCTTTGTGAATCTCCTAACATAGCTGGTATCTTTTTTTACAGGTTCTACCCAGGTAAACTCATTTGTGAATCTCCTAAAGTAGCTGGTATCTCATTTACAGGTTCTACCCAGGTAAACTCCTATGTGAATCTCCCAAAGTAGCTGGTATCTCTTTTACAGGTTCTACTCAGGTAAACCCCTATATGAATCTCCTAAAGTAGCTGGTATCTCTTTTACAGGTTCTACCCAGGTAAACTCCTTTGTGAATCGCCCAAAGTAGCTGGTATCTCTTTTACAGGTTCTACCCAGGTAAACTCCTTTGTGAATCTCCTAACGTAGCTGGTATCTCTTTTACAGGTTCTACCCAGGTAAACTCCTTTGTGAATCTGAGATGGAAACTTTTGTTTAGAAATCGTTAATCTGGATATAAAATGTGGGCCCTTTTTAATATGAGGATCAAAACTAAATTATCCCTGGAGAGTCTGACCAATACTTGACATATAAGAAAGACTAAATAATCCGTAGATCTGCTTAAGCTGGAGATCAATGTTTGATCCCAAGATTATCAGCACAAAACTTCTGACTTCGGGAAATTGAGAATATTTAAACCTCTGATATTAAGGTTGGAAAGATCTTGTACCGTCAGGGATCCAGTACTGTCAAGCGGATGGGATTAGAATTGGGAGGAAATGCAGCATTCATCGTGTTTGAGTCGGCAAACCTAGATACTGCTGTACAGGGATTAATGGCCAGTAAATTCAGGTATATTTTCGTTTATATGCTTCATATTGTTACTTAGCGTTGTGTTGCTGAAATGTATAATACATATATAAAGCTCACTTTGGTTTATTTATACACATATGTATTATGTATACTGTAGTGTATAGGTAGTTAATTATTATCACTACACTATACGGGTTAAGGAGGTATTGGGGGCTGCGCACTAAATCAAATCAAATTGCTATCTAGTATTAAATTACAATGTCAATCCAAAAATGGATTAAATGAAGGTAAACAATTACCACAATTAATTTTTATTCACATTATTGCTCTATTCAAATATCAACATTAAAATATACAGAGCGACCCATAGTTGTTTGCTGCAGTCTCAAATTTTACTTCTTATAAAGTGTTTAGAGGCCTTAAATGATTGATGAGAGAAAAATGTTTCCAAAAGATTTTTTGTTTATGCCTTTGTGTGACACACAAAAAAAAATTTTTGCCGACGGTGTTTGAAAAAAATGCCGTTTAGTCATGAGAGTTTTAAAATCTGATGAACCAAAAGTGGTGTTACCCAAAATGACTCTTTAACATGAAGTTCCAGAACAAAAATAGTCTACAACTAAAAAAAATAGAAAAAATAAAAAAATTTATGATTAAAGGTAATTTATCAAATTTCATCTGACAAACTCTTAATTTTTACTTTTTAACTGACCTCTGTCCTCCTTGATGACTATTAAACACCTCCTGTTCAATGTAGAGGTCTGTCCTTGGATCTACCTCACAGTCAGTCCAAAACAAATCTCCTTGATCAGTTACCAAGGGTCATCTATTTACTCTCCAACTGTGTCCAATTCTGATTTCAGAATAATTAAAAAAAAAAACCAACAAGGGTCGAGATCAAGGTTGTCGTGTATTCAGTTCGTCAGAGTTGGGCAACTGAACTCACAGGATTCAAGCCAATCCTTGCTTTGCCTGGAAGCGTACCTTAGAGCATTGTCTTGCAGGGAAAGAAGTCCCACTTTTTCTTCCTGAATTTGCTTTAGAAGTTGGCAATTAACCCAAGTAACCCTAAAACGGATGGGTAAAAAATTTAGTTTTTCATAATCTATGAGCTCGGCTTAAGCTCTTGTGAAATCTGCAAACACTTTTGGTTCAGTGAATTTAAGAAGAATTGCATAATAACTTGATTTAAAAGTGTACTGTTGATTTTTATAACTTTTTTTGACAAAATAATGTTGGTTTTGACATTTCCAATAGCTTTACTTTGTTACTATTTTTACTCAGGGGCTGAATATTTAGATTGCAAACACTTTTGGGTTGCACTGTACATTAACCGACAGAGCAGTTTACTCTTATCATATGTATCAAGTAATGCACATAATTTAATAGATAGAATTTATGATTGGTGGTGGTCGGATGTCCGACGTAATGAATATTGAATACACATATTTTTAATATTTATTTTTAGCCATATCGATTTTTAACATGGAAACATGGACAATTGTAAATGATCGCGATGAACTGTAACCACGAAAAATCGTTTCTAATCGTAAACCCACATTATCTCTGAAAATTAGTAAATTAATTTCAAGATTGTTCATGTGTCCATAAAAGCCTGGTTTGATTTGATTTGATTTGATTTGATTTGATTTGATTTGATTTGATTTGATTTGATTTGATTTGATTTGATTTGATTTGATTTGATTTGATTTGAATATATATTTAATTCATGTTTTTCTAGGAACTGTGGCCAGACTTGTGTATCTACAAACAGAGTCCTGGTTCAGGTTTAAAATAAAAATAATTATACTTTCATCATAAATAATCCCTGCTTTTTAAAATTATAATGCATCAAATATCATAGTAATTTATGCTGTTTTATGATTCTTTCTTTTATCGAAATTGCATTTCTTTAAAACATTGATACGTAGACAATCCCATCAATCAACTACACCACTGGTGGAAGAAAATCATACATGAAGATTCATTTTTTTTGGGGGGGGGGGTGAAAAATTTTTAATTTGGGAAAAAAGTTTAATTATATTCATAATATTGAGAAGAAGGATGTCTCACAAAGTTTGCAGTTGTTAGATAAAGTGTGAATCAAATAGTCAGGACTGATAAGTTTTTAGTTGATACGTCGTTTAATGGAAACCTTTGAATTTGTACATAATACATATATCAAAGACAATTCTCAAGTCATCTTCAACAGTCATATGTATCTCCTCTTTATTTTATATTAGTTCAGAACTTTATTACAGTAAACAGTATTTCTTTGTTATTTTCTTTATGTTTTACTTTTTCCTATTTATTTTGTCATAAAGAAAATAGTTTAATTAGTTCATATTTTCTACAGTAATTACTGCTTCCCATCAATAAATTTCTTTTATTACCTTTTCTAAAGATATTGCTTTTTTAGCATATTTTTCTGTCGATTCCCCCAAATACATATATTTTTTTTACTCTTTCCATCCTTATATCCATCCTTTTTTCCATTCTGTTTCCCGTCAACGTATAAATACTTTTTTTCTATCACTCGATTTTTCACTTTTTAGGAGTCCGTAGTAGATCAGTTTCTGGAGAAACTCAAGGAAAATAAAATATTTTTAATCTTAAAATCAGTGGCCCTGAACTACACACTTACTTACTTAAAGGGACAGACCGGCTATGTAAGGTAGTTGAACTGAGTATGCAGTGTTGTGGACAAATTCTTTAGATTCATTTGAGACGTATAAAACTGTTCCATGATGTATAATCACTGAGTTTGAGTGCATAGCCAACGTTCAAAATTTTGAATTTGGGTGGGTACGTTTTCAGAATCGGTTTTTTAAAAATTATTAAATAACGACGACGAAAAATAAAGTAAAATTATGCATTCAACTAATTAGATGGCTAGGAACAAATTTCTCAAAAGAAATTTGTCAATAAATCAATGCAAGTATCAATTATTTCGTTTTCATTATTATATTGAATCTCTTATTTTCTATGAATTTATTCGCAGATTTCTTCAAATTTCTCAAATGTCCTCTTTTCAATAATAATTCCAGAAAATCTGCGGAAAATATTTGTGAATAATGAGAAACTAAAATAATGAGAAAATAGGAACTAATAATTAAACATGATTACTTATTTTCGATGATTAGATTAATTTTTATTTTCTCAACCTGTTCCTGAACAGCTAGTTAGTTTACTGTAGAATTTTGTTTACATTTATTGTCGTCGTCATTTAAAACAATTCTGAAACATATCCACCCAAAAGTACAATTTGAACGCCGACTTTGCGCTCGAACTCAGGATTTACAGATCTTTAAAGTTTAATGTCTTAAATGAATCGTAAAGAATTTGTCCACAACACTGCATACTAAGTTCAACTACCTTACATAGCCGGTCTGTCCCTTTTAATTCTTGATGGTCATATTGCGTGCTCTATAAGTCGATCGGTATTTACTGTCATTTGCCATTTGCTTTTAAAGGGAGAGACCGGCTAGGTAACATACTTGAACCGAGAGTGCAATATTATAGTGAAAAATTTTACGATCCATTTGATAACAATTAGACGTTTTTATGGTGTATAATTTTAAAGTAAAGATTCGTTTAATGTAGCATTTTTTTACATTTTTTTTCCTGGATATTAAATAATTATAAAAAAGGTTCTTTTTGCGGACCATCCCTTCTGTTGAGATTTTGCAAAGGAATTTACGCTCTTACTTATAATACTGCACTCTTGGTTTAATTATTTAACTAAGCCGTTCTCTCCCTTTAAGTAAACTACAATGTTTACTCCTTGCTTCTAACCGAGTCTGAATTTGGTTGTTATCGTTGTAATGCTATCACCCCTAGTTTCCTTTGGCCTGTTCAAGCTTGAACATTCGGTCCGTAAAGAAGCTTGTGCTTAATAGTATATTACTTAAACGTCAATTGATTTTCGTCGTATAAAGTGTTTCATAGTAAATTACTATGTTTACTCCATCCCTCTAACCTAGTCTGAATTTGTCTTATGTCTTATAGTCGCAATTCTAAGTCTATTCAACTCGGTCCGTATACTAGCTTAATCCACCTCTGAAGGCCAAACCTAACCCTTGATATTTGATTTTAACTGGGAAATAAATTTTTCATTTTTTTTCAATTTTTGTGGGATTTTAAAAAAAAAATGTTCTTAAAAACCTTAAATTTTTCATGATCTCAAAAACATGTTCTAAAAATCTTAATTTTGGAAAATGATCTTTATTTTGTTCTTCATTTTTGACAATACTTGTTAACAAAAATTTAAATTTCAAAAATGCGTTCTTAATTTTTTTTGTACAGGGGCAACCATGTAAATACCGATTGTAGCATTTTTCAAAATTGTAAGGACATTTATATTATTTTAATTTATTTTTGTAATTACATCTTATTCTTTCATCTTGAAATTAAAATGTGAGTATTGATAAACCCAAATGTCGTTTTTATCCTAGCCCCCCCCCCCCAAAAAAAAAATAATTTAAATATTCGAATTATGTCGGTTAGGTTGCAATGGATAAACTAGTACTTGGTGATGGGTTTGCTGACGGTGTAACTCAGGGACCTATTATTAATAAAGCTCAATTTGATAAGGTAATATAAACTTGAGTATATTTTATTTATTTATTGTATTTGTAATGTACATTGTACAATGTATCAGTTATTCTCAGAAAAAATGGAACCAATGGCTAATTAAACCCCTGATCAAGGGATTCAATGACAAACCTGAATCCCTAGGGGGGGGGGGGTGCATTTTCCAGTAGTTCTGATTTTTTGATAGTACATGACTTCTCATTGTTTAGAGCTGGTTTTAGCATGCACCTTGCCAAAATAGGCTTTTAGATTAGCAAGATTCAATTAGATTTTTTACGCACCAAAACTCTAGCTTTTTTATAAAGGAATAATTGTTTGCAGATACCAATAAAGTTAGGAAATATTAATTCATTTTTTTGTTTTATATTTTTTTCTAGCACCGGGGTTTAGCTGAAGATGGTTCAATTTCAGTTAGGAAATTTTATTTCATTTTTTTGTTTTATATTTTTTTCTAGCACTGGATCTAGCTGAAGGTGGTTCAATTTAAGTTGAGAAATATTAATTCATTTTTTGTTTTATATTTTTTTCTAGCACTGGGGGTAGCTGACGGTGGTTCAATTTAAGTTGGGAAATATTAATTCATTTTTTTGTTTTATATTTTTTTCTTCTTCAGCTAATAAAGATGGTTCAATTTAAGTTAGGAAATATTAATTTATTTTTTTGTTTTATATTTTTTTCTAGCACTGGGGTTTAGCTGAAGGTGGTTCAATTTAAGTTCGGAAATATTAATTCATTTTTTTTTTACATTTTTTCTAGCACTGGGTTTAGCTGAAGATGGTTCAATTTAAGTGAGGAAATATTATTTCATTTTTTTGTTTTATATTTTTTTCTAGCACTGGGTCTAGCTGAAGATGATAGAATTTAAGTGAGGAAATATTAATTCATTTTTTTGTTATATATTTTTTTCTAGCACTGGGTTTAGCTGAAGGTGGTTCAATTTAAGTTAGGAAATATTATTTCATTTTTTTGTTTTATATTTTTTTCTAGCACTGGGTTTAGCTGAAGGTGGTTCAATTTAGTCTCAATCATGGGTACTGGAATACCCATGGTCTTGATTTTCATTAATTCATGGTTGTTGTATTTTTAACTTGGAATACATATTTAATATTATAATTGGTTGCTTTTAAAGGGACTGTAAGCGTAGTTACAAGCAAACCTCAATGCAATAATAGCAAAGCCCTATTCACAATGCCCTTAAAACTTCTGTCTGATCAAGAATGAATTATGTATCAATGTATAAAACTTTGATAGATTTTAATTAATTTCAAAAGTGAATTGCGCATTTATACCACAGAAAAACATACGGAAACTATTAGAATTAAACACTTAACTTTAGAAAAACGACAATATTTCTACATTTTTGATCAGATCAGGGTTTGAATCAAGGGTACCGTTGTATATCGAGGATTGTCACTTGAAATTACGCTTACAGTCCCTTACAGTCTTATGATTGGTGGGTGGGACATAATGTATTTATTTTGACAAGGTGTTGTTAAGGTGTCAAGAATGGTAGAGGATGCGAGGAAGGGTGGAGCCGAGTTGGTGATGGGCGGGGAACCCCACCCCGCGGGTGGTTTGTTTTATAAACCAACAATACTCACTCAGGGAAATACATTGCGGACAGATTTTAATTTACTAAATCCACAGTTTAAAACTAGTGCGATGTGTAACTCGAAAATCTAAAATGAGTCGCTTTCTAACATGAAGATTGAAGAATGGTTTTGCAACCCGAAAACGTTTTTTAGAGTTCTAAAAGTTTGATTTTTACACCTTGCCAATCTCTTACTCAGATTTAAGACACAGGGAGGTGGGGGGCTAAAGTCTTATTAAATTACAATTTGAAAACAAGTTAAAAAACTTAATTTGCGTCTATTTATACAAAAAAAAAATGATTTGCTTGCACGAAACAGTGATATTTTTCAATTAGAATAAGCTCTTTTCTACAACCTTATGAAAACCTGTAACTGTTCAGTGTTTTTAGACCTTCATTGCACGAAATTAAATAATTTTGTTACTTAACTCCTCAATTAAAAAACTCAGAGATTTTCTAAGTCCTCTCTTCAAACCGAAAGTGTCTCTTTTAAACCAGTTTTTTAAATTTTTTTGTAAAATATCTAAAGATCAAGACTAATTAAAATATCTATTTGTGTCCAATAAACGTAAAAACGGCTGAACCGATCGGGCCCAAATTTTTTGTGGGACCTCGCATGACCCCAGGGAAGGTTTATGGATGATCGAATTTTCTATGGAGTATCGAATTTTCAAAAATTTGCTTCTAATTAAATTCGATTTAAATTTTGAAAATCCACCAAATTTTTTATAAATCCGCGAAATTTATGTTGGTTCTGTTTTACATTGTATACAAAAGAACATGTTCACAATTGAAATAGAAGATGGGCACGAAGCGCCCTAAAAGCCTAGTAATTTTAAAAACGAAAAAAAAATGGAACTCTTCTTTTATTTTCCTTTCCTTTTTCTCTTTTTTTAAATTAGGGGGGGAAATATTCCCAAAACTTTTATTTTTGAAGGTTTTTAAATAATTCCTCCTTAAAGAACTTAGTTTGAATATTTTTACTTCTGAGTATTATGTTTTCCCCTGAAGAGTTGCGGATATTCTCTCAAAATCTCGTGGTATGTCCGCAATGTAATTAAATTGTACAGGTTACCGAGGACATGAGTCTATTCAAGGTAGTATTCATCGTTTAGTGAAAATGTGTTTTCCAAATTAGCTTTAATATTTTAATATTGAATTTTTATATTTGAGTGTGGAGGATGATTTAGTTCCAAGATTTATGTTTGATTGAGTTAACAACTTTGAGAAAAAACATTTTTTGTAAAATCAATTTTAGACAGACTAATTTGACTTTTGAGAAAATAAATATTAAGTAAAAAAATCTTCAGAACATGTTTATTTGGGAATCATCTAATGATCCGCCCCATCAGGTAACTGATAACGGCACAGTTTTTTTTCGATATTTTAATAATTGGTCGAAATAAGGCCCAAAACGGGTTATTTTTAATTCTAACAAAATTTCCCCTAAATAAAACATAATTTGAGATTATCTTTTTATTTTTGTACGATTACAACGTTCTTTTAATTCTGTGTTACCACAAGGTCAGTGTGACCAAAAAAAATCTCTTGCATTAGTCACGTTGCGTAAAGGACCTCACTAGTCTCCTGGAGTTTGTAATAACTCTTGTAATAATAGAGATAAATGGTGCTAACTTTGCACCTTTATTCTTTGATAAAAATGGTTCATTTTGGATATTTAAGCTATTGAAGACACTTCCTAAAGGATAGTATGGTTTAAAATAATCTAAAATTATTATTACAAAGAGAACATGTTTACAATTAATTTAGAAGATGGGCGCGAAGCGCCCTCTAAGGCTAGAAAGAAGGGCGCGAAGCGCCTTGAATTTCTAGTATGGATTAAAAGAATATAGGTGCAAAGTTAGCACCATTTATCTCTATTATTACAAGAGTTATTACAAACTCCAGGAGACTAGTGAGGTCCTTTAATCTTCATAAAAAGTGGTTTTCGTCCACGAGATATTGACTTAAGAAAAAACCTTGTTCTCTTAAAGTCGTTTTAATATCTAATATAAATGCTATTCTGGGTGAAATAAGCGGAATTTCCAAATCTACCTCTCTTACTGTTTAGTGTACAGTCCATCTATTTTCTTATTCGTGTTATGTAACATTGAATGTAAATAATTTTTTTTGAACAATAATTCTTTTTTAAGTTAATGAACGCTTTGATTGAAATATTCTGTTGTAAGTACTGCCACTCTATCAATTTAGTATCACTTATGTTTACAATCCCTGAACATAGGTCGATTCTTTTTATTTGCACATTTTAACTACCTGTGGTTATTTTTGACGAGGTCTGAGCCTTGACTTCTACGGAATGATGGTTGATTGTTTGGTTGTTTGTTTGTTTGACGTACTGAATTCTAAAAAACGATTATTAAAGGATAATTGGACTATTTTGTTCTTGTTTAAAAGATTATGATAGTTTTAACCTTAATAACCGATTTTGTTAAAACCTTCTGAAACTACTTAATTCATGATTTTATTATTTTTAAATCTATTTTTAATTCAGGAAGAAATTTTCGGACCGGTGGTTTCTGTTAAAACCTTTAAAACTGAGGAGGAGGCTTTGAGTATTGCAAATAATACCAGGTAGGACATCTTCAGGGCTAGGTATATTTTTTTTGTAAAATAACCCCTCCCTCCCCAAAAAATTAGAAAATTGATCACTTTTACAGTGTTACATACCTCCCTTTTTAACATCTTGTTTAGAGAGTTTTACTTCTACATTGTTACATACCTTCCTTTCTATAACATTTTGTTTATAGAGTTGGACTGGTTAGTTACTTCTACATTGTTACATACCTTCCTTTCTATAACATCTTGTTTATAGAGTTGGTCTGGTTAGTTACTTCTACATTGTTACATACCTTTACTTTCTATAACATCTTGTTTATAGAGTTGGACTGGCCAGTTACTTCTACATTGTTACATACCTTTACTTTCTATAACATCTTGTTTATAGAGTTGGACTGGCCAGTTACTTCTACATTGTTACATACCTTCCTTTCTATAACATCTTGTTTATAGAGTTGGTCTGGTTAGTTACTTCTACACTGTTACATACCTTTATGTTCTATAACATCTTGTTTATAGAGTTGGACTGGCCAGTTACTTCTACACTGTTACAAACCTTTACTTTCTAAAACATCTTGTTTATAGAGTTGGACTGGCCAGTTACTTCTACATTGTTACATACCTTTGTTGTCGGATAGGAACAAGATTCTCAATAATGAACATCAAAATCGATAATGCAGAGAAACTCTTTATTTCCTAAAAAAAAATAAAATGGATAATAATGCACGAGTTTGTTACAAAGTTTTATAATTTTACAATGAAAAGATTCTTACGATCTAATTAGGGATGAGAAGGTTAAACTGTCGGGGAGTCCTAAGACGTTTTTATATATTAAAACTTCTGAAAAGAATGACAATTAATTGTTAACGAAATTCACTAATTCTTTATATGAAAATATTTTGTTCACAATAATGTAAGTGTTTAGACTCTGTTACCGAAGGACAAAGAGAATGGTGCGAAAATTATTTGGTTTGGTGTCTCCAAGAGGAGATTTTGAGTTAAAGACGACATTACATAGATGGGGGGGGGGGTCTTGTAGTTAATGGTTGACACTGGCCCCAGGCAGGGTTTGAGGATGTTAGGGTAACATACAAGAATCAAAGAAAAACCATTAACAATATACTGAAACATTTGGTATGAATGATTGATAGGTACTAGATTGATTGATTGAAATGAACAGAAGTAAATTACGAGGTACATTAAGTAATACAACATTCAACAAATGATAACTGATGAGATTAAAGTAGTGAAGTAAAATTGAAATTGTGACTCACATTTTCCTGTGTTTACTTGTTAAAATAATTTAAAGGAAGAATGAAAAAAAAATAAAATTAATATGTAAACTGAGAATGGCCTGAAATCTCGAACATAAATTAAATGAAAGAGTTAAGATAAAGGGAACAATTAAACTAGAAAAGACCATTATTTAATTGAATACAGAAATGTGAATAATTGTTTCAATAACAAGGATCATAAATTTAAGGTTTATCTCTTTTAAAGGAATTTTAAGTTATTTAAACTAAATTGTTTCCTGTTTTGTGTTCCAAGAAAAAAAATTGAAATGTTCGAACAGTTGATTCCTGCGGTGATGTTGGGTATAGCTCTATTGATTGATTTCTGTGAGCTCCGGGTGGAATTCATCCTGTGTAGGCTCTGGTCTGGAACTTGGAGCTGGGGCTAAATTCCTTGCTTCTGTTGAGTCCGAGGTGAGGCTCCTGAGGGTTCTGGGTTTCCAGGTTCATGAATGGAAACAGTTGATTGAGATGCCTGTCTACCACTATCTTCCGCCCTCCTACTTCACGGCGGTAGCTAATAGTAGCGCCGTAGACGTCACCATTCTTTCTACGAAGGAGTTGTTCCACTCTAGCTGCAGAAATGGGATTCTTGTATATGGGTTTGTTTTTGAACAGGACTATATCTCCGATCTGGGGGAGGTTGCCCTGGTTCTTCCAGGTGACAGTGAATCTGCGTCGAGTATATTCCTGCTCCCATAACCCGTGGAACATGTTGAGAGCTACGTTCCACCTAGAGATCTGTTGGTTGATAGGAGCTACAGGGTTGACTTCGTCTCCGAAACCCTCTCTAAACCCCTGGAGAACGTGATTGGGAGTGAGGGTGATTCCCAGTGGAGCTCCGAGGATCAGAGGTCGATTGTTGAGTTTTTCAATAACTCCATGCGTCCAGGTGAGTAATTCCTCGTCGTCCATTGTCAACTGGTGAGGGCCGACGAGTGACTTGTTGACTGTGTTCTTAATAGAGCCGATTATTCTTTCAACTGCTCCAATACCGGCATGATGTTTGGGTAGAGTGACCCTGAACTCAATGGAGGTAAACTTCAGTTTGAGGTTGGAGATGACCTTCATCTCCGTGTCAACCAGGTCCTTGCCAGCCTTAACAATGTTGAGACCAGCATCAATCCAAATGATGCGCGGTGTACCTCGCAGGGCGAAAGTTCTGTTGAATCCTCTGGTGATGCTCTGGGAGCTGTAATTATGGAGGATTTCTAGATGCACCCCGCGACTGGAAAGACAGAGGATTACCAGGATCCATCTCTTGATCTTGATACCGTCTTTGTGTGCAAAGACAGGTCCAAAGATGTCAGCTTGACAGTAGGAGAAAGGAGGTTGGATAGATTTGAGGACGTCAGGGACATCAGCTTCAAATGCTGCGAATGGAATCTTGTTCAGCTTGATACATCCAGGACAAGATTTCTTTAGAGCAGTGATCATCTTGCAGTGTTTTGGATCCATATCATTTTGATTTGGATCCGGATCCAGGGATCCGCATCCGTGATGATGGATCCGGATCCGGATCCTGATACGGATCCGGATCCGAGGTAACTTTTGTTTCTGTGAATTGGATTTTCCCTATTAAATGTTATGCAAGGTTATAATTTATAAACTATATTTATTATATATTCCGAAAATGGGCAAAATGTAACAAAAAAAATTTTAAAAAATCCTAAAGTTAAAAATGTCGTCATTAATTTACTATTATATAAATGTAAACATTAAATTATTAAAGATAATTTTGAAAAATTTTCATCATGTAAAATGTAAATAATACATTTACGAACCATTTTGATTTATTTATTCCATGGTTTTGGTTAATTTTTGGTGCTACCCGGAGCCATATCAACTTTTCCTGATACGGATCCGGATCCAACCAAATGATACGGATCCGACCGATACGGATCCGACCGGATCCGGATCCGAAACACTGCATCTTACGAACTCCGGGAATGAAAAAATTGGACTGAATTTGGGTAAGTACATGGAGGACATCTCTACGGTGGCCCATATCAGGATAGTCTTCTTGCAGATGAGGGGAACCCCGATTCTGGAACGGAAGCTGCAGTCTGACACATAATATACCCTGTCCACCTGCTGGATGACGAGGTGTTTCATCTTGTTGTTGGCAATGATGAGCTCCGACTCCGTGGTAAAGCACTTGAGGACAGAGGACATGATGGAAGATTTAATAGAACTCCAGGTAGCAGTAGGTTCTCCCCGGACAATTCTGTCCCGATTGGGGTCATTTCTCCAGGATCTGCAAACTTTGTGGAGGAGGTTTAGAGCACGGATAACTGTGGAGAGGCTCCGTTCATGATGTAGAAGACTCAAAATATATTCCCGGGAAGGATTATCTGGGGCTAATCTTGCGAGGTTGACCGACCTGGTGGGAATATTGCATGAGGTGATGGAAGAACAGAGGATGATGGGCCATGAGGATTTATCCTGAGGTAAGAAACTACCTTTCAACCAGAATTCTGAGTTGACCTGCGCGCAGCTGGTCCCAGATCTGGTGAGCATGTCAGCTGGGTTGAGGTTTCCAGGACACCAGAACCAGTTATTAGGTGAGGACGCAGCTAGGATTTCCATCAACCTGACTCCATGAAACACAGGGTTTCCAGCTGGATCATTTTTAGCGATCATCCTTAAGATGATCTCTGAGTTTCCAATGAACGTAGGAGGGGAGAGGGAGACGTTGAACAACTCCTGCTTGATCTTTTGTTCCATCCTGTAGGCGAGTAAAGCTCCTTCCATTTCAGATTGTGGGGCGGAGAATGCAGATTTTCCCAATATCTTTGAGGAGCTGGAGATAAGATTGAACTGATCGCCGGAGTGAGCATATTCACAAGCTCCATATCCCTCTAGGGAGCCTTCGAAAAAAATGAAGAGTTGAGCCTGGTATTGGAATATGACCTGCCTGGGGAAAAATATTTCCCTGGTTAGTAAGATCTCTCTCACCGCATCTCTGAACCTAGCAGTACGTTCCTCGGATAGGATCGAGTTGTTAGAACACTGAGGATCGCGACAGATCTCACTAAACAGAGCTCGGACAGAGAACATGTGGGGAGCAGCTAATCCTGTGGGATCGTATAATTGACACGCAACGGATAGGACGTTTTTCTTGGTGACAGGGATGGATTCGTCCTGCAAAAAATCCAAGTCTAAATCCATACCGGATGGAATCCCACGGGATTTCTTATGGAGGTTGAGGCGAAACTTCAGGCTGTAGAAGTCTCTGAATCTGTCCTAGGTCATACCCAAGTACTTGCTGGTTCCATTCTCGCCAGATTTCTCCCAGGATTTATTAGAGAATCCCCCTCTGTTGAGGATTCCTTCTATTTCTTGTTGCAGTGTAGAGAGATCACTTGGAGAGTTGGCGCCCACACCTCCGTCATCAATATATGTGTCCTCCAATATGGCTTGGAGGATGGCAGGTTGGAAGTGGGGGGGGGGGGGATCTGTGATGAATGTCTTGACAGTTGCAACTTTCGCACAAGTTGCATAGTTGCCGGACGCACTGTCGCCGAAAGGGATCGCCTGATGTCGGAAATATCTCCAGGTAGGGTTAGGAGTAGGAGCACTAGAAAAGAAACCAGACAGAACACACATTATTCTGAGGAAGGAGTCCTTGGTAGAAGTAAGCACGGACCTGAAGAACTTTTGAATGTCATAAACTGCAAAGTGGGAGTGACATCTGGAGTGTAACAAGATTCCTCTCATATTGGGAACATTCCCTGGGGCCGGCTGGGAGACGTCGTTGAGGCTGAGGCCGGTCTCGGTGCGCATGGAGCTGTCTTTGGTCATTCGCACTTTGGTGGACGAGCTGGTGGAAGATACAACAAAATTGTAGGCTACAAAATGGAGTTGATATTGGTCCCTGTAGTCCTCAGGGTTAATCTCAATGTAGTTTCCATTGATGTATTTATCCATCTCTGCAAAAATTTCAGGTTTGTCAGCAATCCTAACATGGAGGGCATGGATTCTCTTCGTTGCACCAAAATAATTCTCGCTGAGGTTCGAAAGGTTTGGTTTGTAGAGACAATTAACCTGGACCTTACCCTTGACGGGGTCCACGACGGTGTTGTCCATGATGGCCTGGATGTTCTTCTCCTTGGTAATCTTGTGGAGCTGTTCTCGATTGGAAGGGGTTGTGAATTCTTCGGCTGAGGTGAGGAGGAGGAGTTGATCTTGTATGTCTTGTATCGTCAACGCATTGATGATGACGGTGTTGCGGGTGTTGGTGAGGGGGGACTCGGACCAGGTGATGGAGTTGGAGGGGACGGCACCATAGACCATGCAGTTGTTGGTGATGGTGCTCTGTTAGAGTGCCATTCCCAAGGGATCTCGTTCAATTTCAGTAGGAAAGAAACGATGATTATCTCCCCCTAGTAAAATGGATACATGACTGTCATGACTTGATGTTGAGGTCTTCGTGAGGTTTCTCCACTTGGGTGGGATGGTGAAGGAGAACGCTGAACCGTTGTTGAGGTCTTCCTCTATTGTGGACAACTTCAGGGTCTTGCCCTGGATCCTCAGTTTAACTGCAGTGGTGAGTACTACTTTGCCTTCACCAGCATAGGTTGCTATCTTTACTTGAGAAGAACTCCCAAGGGAGTACATTGACTGAGGGATTTTGGAGAGGGCAGATCTGGAAATGAGGCTGAGTTGACAACCCGTGTCATATTGGATCCCTATTGGGGTGTTGCCCAGGAGTATGGTTTCTAACAGGGGAACTGACCTGTCGGCGCTGACCTTGGAGACGGAGATGAAGGGGGCCTGGTTATTGTGCATGCAAGCCTTCGTATGTATGGGAATTCCTTTTTCCAGACAACCCTTGGGACACACTTTAGAGACACCGTTCTTGTAGGTAGTCTTGCACTTGTAACCGACGCTGTGAGCCTGAGTACAAATAAAGCAGAGGCCATTATGGGCGATCAATTTGAGGATATCAGGTGAGCTCAGTTTGCCAGTACCACAGGTGCTGGAGAGAGAATAATGGTTGGCTTCGAAACCCTTGATTGAACACATGGCGCAGGGCCTCGGAGTATGCTGGTGCTGTGGGCCAGAAAACTTCGGAGGCTGAGGATTGGGTTTGGAGGTCCCTTGCCTGACTACGTTGACTCCTACGCTTGAAATACCGAGGTCGAGATCGTAGAGATAAGGGGTGGATTGATAATTCTTCACCAATTTTTCTACAAATTGGGCTTGGAATACGAATGTGGCCAGAGGTCGGACATTGTCCGGACACTCGGAATTTGGAGAACTGGTCGTTGAAAGATAGCCTCACTTCCATCGGCAGGCTTTTCGTGATGTTTTGCACCAGAGACTGGGTGAGGGCAACACTGTGAAGGTTCTCCTTGTTGTGGAAGTTCTCCATGATGATCAGGTTGGCCTGGAGAGTTTTAATCTTGGGAGAGAGGTCTTCAGAGACCTCCTGGACTGACTCGTAACGAGGGAGGAGGTTAAAAGTTTGATTGACGTCTCCTCTGAAGACATCTATGCTTCCGAACTCTTCGATCAGCTTGATCTTGAAGGTGGGCCAGTCCGTGATGTTGTTGAAAGGTCCTCGTTTAGCAAGAGGTATGGCATTTTGAGTGAGAGCCACTTTGACAACATCCTCGGCTCGAGTCAGGTTGAACCCGTTCAAGATGGTCGCCAGCCAGGGGTAGAAGTCTGCAGACTTGCCGCTCCAGTTAGGTGTATCAAGTTTAGGAGGTTTGAAACTGGCGTGAGGTTGTTGGCTGTGCTGAGAAGAGGGGGGGAGGCAGGTTTGGTGGCGGATGAAGAGTAGTGGATGGTGAGGATGTCCGAGGCGGTCTTGGAGGCGGCCTTGGAGGCGGCGTTAAGGTCGGAGCAGTCATACTTAAGGAATTCGAGGTTAGATTCACATGTTTTCTGGAGCAGTTTCTTGGTGCTTTCCATTACATCAATGTCATTCTGCTGAATTGCTGTGCGGAGTTGGTGAGTAAAGAGTAGGATGAGGTGATTAGGGGGGGGTTGAAGAAGGTTGACGGAGGGGGGGGAGTTTTAGCTGGATTTGTCGATATTCAGTTCCTCGCCTAGGTTGTGGACATGACCGGTACATCTTTGAATTTCCTGCTGAGGGGTTTCAGGAGGAAGGTCGTGGGGATCCTCGTGGAGAGGAGTAGCTGGGTTCATCTCGAGGCTTTCTTGAAACTTCGACACTTTGCTAGATCGAAATGTTGTCGGATAGGAACAAGATTCTCAATAATGAACAGATAGACAACTGGATAACCCTCAAATCAAAATCGATAATGCAGAGAAACTCTTTATTTCCTAAAAAAATAAAATGGATAATAATGCACGAGTTTGTTACAAAGTTTTATAATTTTACAATGAAAAGATTCTTACGATCTAATTAGGGATGAGAAGGTTAAACTGTCGGGGAGTCCTAAGACGTTTTTATATATTAAAACTTCTGAAAAGAATGACAATTAATTGTTAACGAAATTCACTAATTCTTTATATGAAAATATTTTGTTCACAATAATATAAGTGTTTAGACTCCGTTACCGAAGGACAAAGAGAATGGTGCTAAAATTATTTGGTTTGGTGTCTCCAAGAGGAGATTTTGAGTTAAAGACGACATTACATAGATGGGGGGTCTTGTAGTTAATGGTTGACAACCTTTACATTCTATAACATCTTGTTTATAGAGTTGGTCTGGTTAGTTACTTCTACATTGTTACATACCTTTACTTTCTATAACATCTTGTTTATAGAGTTGGAATTTTCAAGATGAAAGTTGTTGAGTATTTTAAGATAAGTCGAGAATGAACTAAAAAAGATTATTTAATTGTTTCTTTCATGGGGTCGAAATGGAAATGAATTTAATCGAATTTTGCGAAAAGTTTACAAAAACTCTTCATTTCTTCCCTTCTGACGTAATTTCAATTGACCCTCCATTTAAAAATAAACAGAGTGGTTTATCCAATTCACACAAGCATCCAATCAACTGGAAAAGTGTTAAATTTGGTTATTTTTCTTCAATGTCTATGCTACAGAAATCTCAAGTCACTATTATAGAAACCCCACAATGGAAGTTTACAACTTTCAGATTGAAAAGCAAAGTGAACGTTTGATAACTTTTTGTTTTTAATCATAACTCCATCCCATTGAAGAGTTATTAAAAAGAACAGAAATGTTTTAGATTTTTAATATTTAACTAAATAATTTTATTTTTCTCATAGTTGCAGGGTGGCCAAAATGTACGGATTGTACGGATTGATTTTTTTTAACCCTAAAATTGTACGGATTGTACGGATTTGTTTTCAAATTGTACGGATTGTACGGATTTTTATCCTGGAAAATACACCGTTTTTTTTAAATTTTCACTCATTTCAGCAAATTTTNGTATCCTGTATCCTGTATCATGTACCCTGTATCATGTATCCAGTATCCAGTATCATGCACCTAGTATCATGTACCCAGTATTTAGTTTGTATATATGTATGAAGCCAATTTTTTACAGATTGATTCTTGCTGAAGAAGTTTAAACCCTCTTACATGAACTGAACACAAAAGACAACGAATGAAAAATTGAATTTTAATGTTTTTTTTTCAAAAATGGGATTCTTTTCGAAAATTGTACTGATTGTACAGATTTTTAAAAAAAATGTACGGATTTTAAAATAATGTACGGATTGGTTTAAAAAAATGTACGGATTGTACGGATTTTTTTAAAAAAAATTGTACGGATTGTTTTTGAAAATTGTACGGATTGTACGGATTTCTTCTGAAAATGTACGGATTTTTGTACGGATGTGTTCAAAAAAGTTTTGGCCACCCTGTAGTTGTGCTAAAATAAAAAACTAGAGAAGCTACGATATCACAAAGTCGTACCAGGGATGTAGCATTAATTTTACTGTTTCCTTCTCTCTAGTTCGCATTGATCCTTGATCAGACGAAAGTTTCAAGGGTACCATTGTGAATTGGACATTGAGAATCTCTCTTAAATTTACGTCAACAATCAACATTCCTTCTTATTATATTTCTTATGATTAGGTATGGTGGGTATTAATGAAGGCGCTATATCTGCCGCCGAGGCCGCATTTGGCGGCATAAAGGTAAGAAAATTTGATTGACATCGTAAACTGATTTATTTTTTACTCTTCAGTGTTTATATCATCAGAGGGATGAATTATTTTTGATAAGTGGGAGAGGGGATTTTTTTCCTAACAAAAACAACTAGAAAAGATATATTTTTTAGGAGAGTGGACTGGGTCGTGAGGGGTCCAGCCACGGAATTGAAGAATACACTGATATCAAATATCTTTGCTTCGGAAATCTTTAATCGGTAAAGAAAGAAAAAACATTAACATGAAGATGCGCGACAAAAATATAAGAAACAGCAAAGAAGCAACACCGAGTAAAAAAGGGTGAAAAGCAACAACTACAAAGATAAACCAACAAAACAACTTTAAACACACAACAACTGCAATGAAACTAACAACAACAACAACGCCCTTGAAACTTATCAACAACTTCAAACTGTAATCCCTCTTGATATTTTCCATTTATAAGGGCTAAAGACTTGATTTTATGTGATCTTCCATTTATAGAGGGGTATGACCGGATTAACAACCAAATCTTTCAAACCGTTGTTGAGCACAAATGCTGAAGTTATCCTTAAGTTGCTTGTTTCCCATTTTGGTTTCTCTAAATAAGTTTATAGGAAGAGAGATAAAACTACAGTTTTAAAAAGAGAAAGATGATTTTTTTCATGACGATATTTTTTCCGTCATATTAAGATTTAATGGTTACCGCTGTGATTCGGGACTGCCACTTCAAAGTACGTTGACAGTTCCCTTTAAACTATCCCTGCAAATATAATTGTACGGCTCATCCTCATTACTAATTGATCAATCTTGGATATCAATTGCCCTACCCTTTAAGTTGTCTAGGAAACATTTCTATGATCAATGTTAATCATTTTAGATTATGCAAGCAATAAGCATTCACTGTAATAGATATAAAAACTCGATTATTTTGTTCTTAAAGAGTTTTCTTATTTTCCCTTTAAGTTATCACTGCAAAACCTCAGATTCTCCCAATTACCAATTGGTTAATTTATTGAGTATCAATTATGCTACTCTTAAGCTTGTCAACAGAAATTACATGTTCTCCTCCAAAGTATCATTTTTTATCTTTTTTATTTATGCAATTGTTATTCGCAATGAAAAATTTAAGCAAACACCGTTTTCTGATTTTACTTTTAAGTAATACTTGCAAATCAAGTTTCACTTTATTATCTTAATACATTTTTTAAGTAGTATACATTCATATTTCATTTTAATGAATGAACAGCAAATAGAGAGAAGGTTGGTTAGTTTTTTTAAACAGAGGACGATTTATCGTATGTGAACTGTTAATTTTTTTGAAAACTTTTACATTTTCCCCCAAGTTTTTTATATTTTTTTTTCAGGGCTGTTAATACATTGCTGTTAAACGTATCGTTGCAAATCAGACATGCCACTCTATGAATGAATTGACGCTGGAAACTAAGTCTAAAGTCCTTTATAATCTCTGATCCTGATTAATATCATTGCAATCTTTTCTTTATAATCTCTAATCATGATTAATATCATTGCAATCTTCTCTTTATAATCTCTGATCATGATTAATATCATTGCAATCTTCTCTTTATAATCTCTGATCATGATTAATATCATTGCAATCTTCTCTTTATAATCTCTGAGCATCATTGCAATCTTCTCTTTATAATCTCTGATCATGATTAATATCATTGCAATCTTCTCTTTATAATCTCTTATCATGATTAATATCATTGCAATTGTTACTTCTCAAATCTAATGTAGTCTCATATAGTCCTATCCTAATGTAGTCTCCTATAGTCCTATTCTAATGTAGTCTCTTATAGTCCTATTCTAATGTAGTCTCTTATAGTCCTATTCTAATGTATAAGCCTCCTGTAGTCCTTTTCTAATGTAGTCTCTTAGTCATAAAGTCCTATAGCTAAGAATTGTAAAATTCATTTATGCTTGCTAAGTTTGCATGCTGGGTTGGTTAAAAGGTAGTCCCTATATATACTTTTCGCTTGTATTTTCTGCAGATGAAGAATAGGGTTTCGCACAGTGGTAACTAGAAAACAGTGGAATGGTTGACGTTTTTTTTAAGAAATGTAACTTAGGATTTTTTAATTTAAACTCATTTATTTCTTTAAATATTTCTTTAAATCTATATTTTTTAAAAAAGAATTAGGACAGCTATTCCATTGTTTTCTAGTTACAACATATGTTCATGTACTATGTTTCTATTTATAATTATCTTTTAGAATGTTCTCCGATAACAGAGGCATTTTTTATGATTAATTTGCATTCCAGGTTTTTTACATCATTGTTTTATAATTGTTATTAACATTATTTGATATTAAATATTTACTTAGCATCAATATTATTAGATTTTATTTTATTACTTCTGTTTTATATTATTTTGTTATATTACTATTTAGGTTAAAAATTTAGTTTTAACTATCCTTTATATGATGAACAGGTTTCAGATTTAGTTTTAACTATCCTTTATATGATGAACAGGTTTCAGATTTCAAAAATGTTGAGATTTCTAGACTTTGGCAGACAAACGCATAAGTTCAACTTTATTCAATTAAGACACGCAGGTTTGAATTTGAGTAGTTGCACTTCCCCTTGTAATGGGGGGAGGGAAGGGCAAGTTTTTCAATAAGTGCGGGGGGGGGGTATAAAATTGGATAAAGATTTTTTTCTCTTTTTTAACCTAAATTCATTCATTTTCCACCAAAAAAAAACCTGTTTCAACTTTTAATTGTGGCTTTATTTTGAACATCTTCTTTTTGTACAGTAAAAAAAAAAGAAATTTCATAAAAAATTTTCGCCCATTTTTAAATTAAATAATTTAAGATTAAAATATTTTAAGATTTATCGTCTTCCACAACATATTTAAAGTTGATTGGCCATAAACTTCCCTGGGGCCACGTCAAAATTTGGGCCTGTTCGGTTCAGCCGTTTTGACGTTTATTGGATACAAAAAAAGACAGACAAACAAAGACACCAAGACAAGCTAAAATATATAGAAGATGAAACCTTTAATTTGATTTTTTAACAAGCAAATAATTATAAATACAATATATATCTATTAAATATGTAATCTCTGTTTGTCTGTTTGTTTGTTTGTCCGATCACAACTCTGGACCGATTTGCCTCAAATTTTGATTCGGAAGTTCGGGAGACCCACGGGAATGTTCTTAGCTTGGTTTTGCTTAGTGGGTCGACTTTAATGGCGAAAATGTAGTGTCCCGGTAAAATCATTCAACTGCGGGTAAACGGCGGGAGTATCTTTAGTAACCCGGGCAGCGCTGGGTTCCCAAGCTAGTTACAGATATAAAGGGAAAACTATTAATTCAGTTTGATTTTGCATTTCAAATATTGTATTTGAAATATATATTGAAATATTTGGGAATATTGCCATTTGTATTAAAACCAGTTTAGACCTGATAAGTATAATTTAATCTCTATTCAATGATGAGAGAATTGTTATCCCTCATTTTTACTCAAAGTTTTATGATCCTTGGGTTAACACGGGTTTCTTGCAATTTTTGTCATATTTTTCTGGTCGAATCCCCCCCTCCCCCCATTCAAATTCGAATGATTGCATTTATTACATTTTTTTTCTTAAAAAGAGTGTTTCTTAAAGGGGAAAGGTGTCCTGCACATTTTTTGATTTTTAAAAAATTTATATTTTTAGTGATTTTTTAGTTAACTATAGTGACATAAATTTCAACTTTAGTGAGAAGAATTCTTTAAGACAACTTAATCCCTCACTTTCGCACAGGATTGAAAAACACTAAAATTTAAACTTTAAACAAACGTTTAAAGTAGAAATATTTGCAAAAAGCAGCTTAAATAGATATTTAATGTACATTAAGTATTTTGTAATATAAGAAAATTCCAAAACTATTTTTAGAATGGTACATGCCTATTACAAGCGGTTCCTTCTGAACCTTGATTGCAATTTTAACAAGCCATAAACTTTTTCCTTGGGTCTATGAGTTGCCACTGAAGACGTGGTCCCGATATGTTTAGACAAGGGAACAGACGAGACAAAAAAAACATATAGAAGATAGACATTACTTAATATGATATTTAAATATTTTTAGGCCACAATAAATGGAGTAATATTAAACATATAAAAGCTGCAAAAGACGGAATCAAATCAAAGGGAAGAATTTTTTATTTCTCTTTTTTTATTTTAATTAAATTTAGTTACGTAGATTCTTCAATCTGACTTCAAATACATTTTTTGTAAAAAAAATTCTCAAATTTTAAGAGAAATGCAGCGTTTGCCGCGAAAATCAATATTGCCATTAAGGAAAAGAAAACCTTAAATCTTATCTCATTAATCATTAGAATCATTAGAATTTAAAAATGGACCAATTATGCACGACGTCACAAGTGTCAAACACTTCTCAAATTTTTTATTTTTAAATTTGTTAGCAAAAATTGTGAAATTCGACATTTGAGACGACTTTTCACTAGAAAATTTTTTTATCTTGGTTAAACTTTTATACAGGACATTTCTGAAATATGTTTTAACGTTAAATATTCAAATTACTATGTTAGAGGGTTATTTACAAAATCAGTTTCTAACCGTTTATTTAGTCAAGAAGACGTCAAATGAAAAAGTGTAAAAAACTAAAAATAAAGAACACATAAAACTGCACTGATTTCACTAAAGGTTGACAACTTAATCGAAAATTATCACTTATATTTATAGTTTTGTCTGACACAGAAATTGGATTGACACTTGTGACGTAGATACAGCTGTACTAGGAATGTACGCATTCTGCGTTGCCACCTATTGTACTTGATTATATATTTGACTTCTTACCGTAAACTCGAAAATTTGTAGATCCTAAATCTTTGCAACCAGATAGTTGCCTTTGATAATTTTTAAATCTGCGACTTTTGGAATTAACAGAATTCATTTCAAAGGTCTACACCATCAGGTTGCAAATATTTATGAATTAACTAAGAACTCAGTTCCTTTGCACTGCAAACCAAGATGTGCACACTCTAATACAAAAATTGAGCAGTTTTTTAAGATAATTCCTTTTAAAAATACGCTATAAAGATGCGCGTTGCATCTTTAAATGTACATGCCTACTGCCTAGGGTTACAAAAAAGTATTTGGTGAGGTTAAACCAAAGGCAAAGGCGTTGAGACACTTTACAGAGTCCGTCAAAAAATGTGATGACCAACTTTCAAAGTTTTCTATTTCTGTAAAATGATTTTCCCAAAATCTGAGAGATTTAAGGTTTTCAAATGGAAGGAGAAAAATGGAGATGTTAATACCGAGACTAACTCAGCTCTCAGGTTAAATCCATAAAATTCGTCGTCTTCATAAAAGAGAATATTTGCGTTTAATGTGATGTGTAATGTGTAATGTGTATGAAAAGTAAAATTAACACTGCTTGCCACTGCGAATGACATTATAAGTGAATTATCTAAATGTTTGTAGATTTTAACTAGCTACCGTAATGCACTGAATGCTCGCTATAGATAATAATTTTAGACACCGTATATCGTTGCAACCTGATGGGTAAACCTTTGATGTTTTAATTGTGACTGTTCATCTGGCAGCCTGAGTTTATATTTAAAAATGTCAAAGCTCTACAAGATCAGGATGCAAAGATATAATGATAATTAATAATAATGTGTATAAAAATGTGTTCCTCCAGAACTATGTTTTGCTCTTAAATCAAACAACTTCTATGATATCATAAAATTCATTAATTACTGAATGAAAATACTGATTTCTTCAATATGTTTCTTTTTTAATGATATTTCCAAGTCCACGACAAGAAAATTTTGATAAAATATTTTCACCCTTTATTTTATGTTTTAGGAAAATCTTAAATGACGCGAGAATAGCCCAGGTCCCTAAAGCAACGATTGACACAGCAATTAAGAATTTTAAGAATATTGATGCGGTGGAGGTTACTGCAGAAATCAAGGAAACCTATCAGTAAAACTGTTAAGAAAAAGTACAAAAAAAATATTTTTATTTGTTTGTTATTACCCAAAGTTTTTGTGAATATTGAGTTCGAAACTTTTGCAAAGTTGATGACTCCTGATTTAAAAGCTTAGACTCGGGTTTTAATTCCTTAGACCCAGGGACTTCATCTTGAACCCAACTTATGAATCAGCTGACGACAGCTTGTGTCACGTGATTGGTAGCTGGTAGGCATTAAGTAACCGACATACGGAACTTGGCTCTATCTAAATAAAATCGACCTAGATAAACCCAACTCTGTGGTAAATTAGTCGCAACTTATCGCAAAGCTCAATTTTAAATTAGTCTCAATGACAGCTTCGTCTTAGGAGTCTAATTTTCCCCCAATTTTTTTAATCGCGGGCTCTGAAATCACTAGTTTGTTGTTCACGGAGATCGTTGATAAAAGTTTCCGTTGTGGATACCGAGCCTAGATTAGCACTCTCTCAAACATAAGTTTCCGTTGTGGATACCGAGCCTAGATTAGCACTCTCTCAAACGTAAGTTTCCGTTGTGGATACCGAGCCAAGATTAGCACTCTCCCAAACACAAGTTTCTGTTGTGGATACCGAGCCTAGATCAGCACTCTCTCAAACATAAGTTTCTGTTGTGGATACCAAGCCAAGATTAGCACTCTCTCAAACATAAGTTTCCGTTGTGGATACCGAGCCTAGATAAGCACTCTCTCAAACATAAGTTTCCGTTGTGGATACCGAGCCAAGATTAGCACTCTCCCAAACATAAGTTTCCACACTTTATTTACACGGGAAAATAATCTCCCAAACATAAGTTTCCACACTTTATTTACACGGGAAAATAATCTCCCCCCCCACACTTCTCTTTTATATTAATCACAAGAACAAAACCATCCTATTTGTATCTGATATTTATTATGAATATGAGGGCTTAACTAGTATATTATTATCTATAATTATATTTAATGCTCTGCTCCTTTTATCAATATTACTTTTTTCTAGTTAAGGATAAGTGGTATTAGATTAAGCCTAAAAGAGCTAAAGATTAAGTAAAGGGACTGTTAGCGAAATTTTAAGAGCCATCCAAACCTTTCAGAAATAGATAGGACACTGCATAGAAAAGAAATTCATTAAAACATATAGACAGAGTAGATTTTTCATAGACAGAGAATTATTTTCAAAGATAGGTAATTCCAACGACAGAAAAGTGATTTTTTTCAGAAAAAAATTTAAGATTCGGGGTTTTAAAAAATGTGTCATAATTTTAGAAAATGTGATCAGAGCTGAAAACTTTAGAATGGTGGATATCGGGATTAATGCTTAATCCACTCTTTTTCTTAATCTCGAGATTAAATATTGCTTGTTCTCCTCTCATTTTTAATCTCCAGATTAATTATCCGATCAGGATTAAGAATATCCCATTCTAAAGTTTTCAGCTCAGGTTGACTAACAAAAAATCAACTTAATTTGTTACCAGTTTAAAGCAAAACTATTAAATGATTTTTTTTCTTTTAAATTAGCAAAAGATTAAATTATCTTGATATTCTGTGTTTTCTTGACTCCTTATAGTATTTACTGTCTGTCTGTCCAACTATGTCAGTGTACTGTATACTCCTATAAACAAGTTTTCAACTTGAAGTATACATGTTGCCATTATAATATTTAGCATAAATACAATGGTCAGATTCTTTCAAAATAAAATTTAGAAATAGTTTTGATAAGTTTGTTTATCAGTGTGCTGGGGGAATTATACTTATTGCAGAATGTCTAGGTAAACAATTTTTAAAGGTTTTTTTCTTACAATTATTGCACATTTTGAATTATAATTATCGATATAAAGAGGTACTGACGGATAAATGCTTTATGTCTGTGCAGGCAAAAGTCGTCAATTTGTACACAATGAACTTATAAACATTTTGAAGAAGAAAAGTGGAGTTCTTGAAAAAGGTATATTGAAAAATATATTTTGCATTTTGTCAAGATTTATTTAGAAAAACATATTGTCAGTTCTAAATGTATAATCAGGTGGTTTGATATCCATGTTTGAAAGAAAAGGAGTAATTATTGCAGAATTAACAAGCTCTGATAATTTAGGTAAGAAATTAATATTTATTTGGTTCTATATTTGGCATTGCCCGTGCTATTTTTAGAAAATATAAATTTTCGAAAACCCCGGTGGTGTCACGTAACATTTTCTATCTTTCGATGTGTTTCGGTGCCACTCCCCCCCCCCTCAAAAAAAATGAATAGACATTTCTGGTCGCTATAAATATGTTGTGGAAAAAGATACTATTCACTTAATCCAGGGAATATTCTCTATTATCCATTTAAAATTTCAAAACTGAAACTAGAAAATATCATTTTATAATTTATATTTTATTTCGTCAATACTGAAATTCTTTGTTAAGCCACAACGAAAATTTAAATTTTCTTGAAACTTTTGAAATTTAATTTTGAGTGTTATGGTTTAAATTGGAGATTTAGAAAATGGATAGAATTTGATTAAACAAAAGCTCGTGCAGTTATATATAAAGCCTTACTTTAGACCTAATTTAGTGAGGTATTTTTGTTTTAAACATGTTTAAAACTAATCACCATAATTAAACATGAAGTGATTAGGAAATCAGAGTTTGTGGCAAAGACTAAATTTCTTTCAGGGGCATAAGTGGGTGTAATTTATGTATAATGTTGGTTTTTGTTTATTTTCTATATTTTCATATGCTCATAATCCTAATTTTTGAATTTTTGATCTCAACTCCCTCTATTTTACCGCTTACAGAGCTCGCTTGACTTGATGAACAGTCAAAGGTTTAAAGGGTATCATTATAAATCGGACATTATCCTCTTTGCATGAAGGGTTACTGAAAATTACGCTTACAGTCCCTTTAAAGATGTTCCTGAGAGACAGAATGTCCATAACTCGTTATTTATTGTCTAATGATAATTGAAACAATTGTTTTAAAATTGGGAATTCGTTTGGACCCTAAATCTTATCTGTTATTAATATTTTGAAATAGTTTAGATATTTGTCAATCTAAATACGATGAGGGGGGGGGGAGTAAATAGAAAGTTCAACTGAGTCTAAAACTATAAAAGAACGAAAAGTTTTGACTTAGATTTTAAGTTCATGGTTAAATGCCACTTCTGACTTAATTTAAACCTGAACTTTAACCGTGAGGTTAAATATTTAACCCTGTGGTTAAATATTTAACTCGCCGAAATCGACGAGTTTAAATTTAAACACAGGTTTAAAATCTTGAAATCCTGCATTTTCCTTATTTGTCTATTATTCAATCATCATTCAGCTGCAGCTGAGAAAGCGGCATTCAACTTAACGCTATATTTAAAAGTGAAAACCTTGTTAAAGAAATTCACGTTTTAGATAAATTAATTTTTGGATGTAAACCCAAAAAACGGTTGTATGTTTTGTTTTCGGTTACGTAAGAACAGCTGATTAGCGATGGTTATGTAATATTCTCCTTAAATCCTTTTCTCTGATTGGTTCAGATTTTTCCCGGGAAATTCAAATTTTAAATTGAGAAAGTTTAATATTTAAGTAGCTATTCATTATTTTACAGAACTTTTAACCTCGAACTTAAAATTCGCGCGATTTTTTTACAAATACACACAATGTTTTTTGTGAAAACGGACACGAAGTCTGTTTTTGGGAGCAACAAAATTACTAACGAGCAAGGGATTTGGGAATAATAATGTTTTTTTGGGAAATATTTACACCGATCTTTTTGTTAAGATTCGATTGAGGATGATGCAATAGAAGCTGGAGCTGAGGAGGCAACTGTATTAAGTACTGAAGCTAAGGTAGAACTACTATTAAACCCTTAACTCCGGAGATATCAAAAGAATTTATAAAATGTCGTTTTCCTGGTAATGCAATGCTGAAGATATTTAGTTTTTTTATTTAATAATTATGCCTTTCAAATGTTCCCGCATACTTCATGGCTATTTGTTTATTTTTACCATTCCTCAGATTTAGGTATTACAGTATTAAACCCAGGCCATTGTAAAATTTTAAGACGACATTTTATATATTCTTTCGATGTTTATTAAGTTATGGTTTAAACAACATTTTTATCAGTAATGGTATGTTTAGCGTTATTTGATTGATTATCAACGATTTGGGAAAGAAAATCAAAACAAAAATAAACATTGTCTGGCAATTATTTACCCTTTTTGATAGTTAGTACACAAACATTTATTTTCTTTATCCTTAACTTATTTAGTTAATGGCATTTTTCATTAAAGGATTAGATTAACAATAAGGTTCTATATTAGTGTTTCTGAAGCTGAAATTAAGCTTAGTATTTGTAAAATATTTGATCAAAAATAAATGATTCTCTCATTTCTATTCGAAAGAATATTTCTGACGCACATTCCTAAGAATTTAAAGTTTCAATTTCAAAAGTTAAGATTTATATTTCGTTTAACAAATGTACTGTTGCAGTCGTCAATATTTCAAGAGAAACTGTGGTCATAGAGTTGTGTGCACGATTCCCAATAGTACCCTTGAAACCTTTATGGACTTATTAGGAAGATTGCCTTTATATTGTGTTGCCTAAATCCGCAACTTCCACTTTTATATGGAGAAACTGCAATTGAGAGTTGTCAGTTTTCAGATAGATAAACAAAGATAATACCGTCATGTTTGTTCAGTCAAATGTTTTAAGGGTATCTTTGTGAAATAAGCTTATCTATCTATATAAAGTTGTAATCTCTGTTTATCTGTCTGTTTGTTTGTCCGATCATAACTCGGAGATCCTTTGCCCGATTTGCCTCAAATTTTAATTCGAAAACTCTGAAGAACCACAAGAATGTTCTTAGTTTGGTTTTAAGATTCTTAGTCGAGTGGGTTCACTTTTATCAGGAAAAATAGCTAAAATCCTAATTTCCAACAAAGCGCGGGTGAACGGTGGGACTAACTTTGACTGCGCTGGGGAACGGTGGGTTCCAAGCTGACAGTCCCTTTAATATTTTGTTAATAACTGTTGAAAAGGAAGTTAAAAGTGGGGGTTTAACTATTATTAAAATTTCAATTAAATCACGTTTTGAGAAAATATTTATTACAAAAGGTATCAAATTATGATTGAAATTTAAAATTCGGTGATGGTGATGGACCAAACCTTTATAGAGAAAAAAAGTAGATGTTAGTTCCACATTTTATTGAAAATATATTTCGATCTAGGTTGACCCTCGTCAGTTCTAACGATATATCCATCAAAATCGATGTTAAAAATTCTATATTGTGGAATTTCTCTATTATGATAAAACTAGAATTTTTATATTCTGAACTGAAGAATTTTTATGTTTTCTGAATTTAGAATATCGAATTAAAAAAACGTTTTTTTGGACAAAATTTTTAGAGTTTCCAACTATATATTTCTTGACTTGAATTTCTATATTTTAGACTGTAGAATTTCTGTGTTCTCCCGTGACTGTTGGTCAAGTTCGTCAATATTTAGAGGAACATGGTTACACATGTATAGATGCCGCTGTTAATTTTATTCCACTGATACCTGGTAAGTTTTTTTATTTTTACTAATTCATTTCATTATTGTTAATGATGCTACGTCATCAGGATTTATCATAAGGGTTACCCACAAAGGATGCGACTTCAGAGACGATTGCACTGAATTTATACTGCCTGTTTCCTTATATTTACGAGTCCCTGTAACTTTAAACTTGTTTCGTTCTTTGCCAAATCTTTGAATAAACCATGGGGAATCTGTATCTAAGGCAGAATACATAATTTTATCTTAGAATCGTCACATTTTAAGAGTTTCCGTTCGTCTTTTCATTTTCATCCTTTGTTGGTAACCCTGTTAATAAAAAATAAACATAGTACGTATATGTGGTGTTAAGTTTGAAAAGGTAAACTGTAAATTTATAAGTTTTTTTATTTCAGCCAACCCTAGTCCGGTAGATAGAAAATATGCACTTGCTGTTATAGAAGCCCTAGAAGCCTCTAGTTTAGTGACAGCAGTTCATCCCAACTTTTAATCCATTTATTTTCTTAATCCCTCAATTCATAATTGTCCTCTTCAATCTTTCATTAAAGGAACCGTTCACTGATATGGGTAATTTGAAGGTAAACTAAATAGCCTATTTGCTATTCATTAATCTTTAGTCTTTCTCAGTTGCCTGCTTTCTCTCTAGCAGAACGGACCTACTATGCAGTCCCAGAATTGCAGCTGGGGAAGCGATGTGTTTAGTTACGCATCTAGTATCCTACAGGGGAAGCAAGAATTGTACATAGATTAAAACAAAACTTCATCTTCAGCTTGGTTCACCGAAAGAGGAGTTTAACTCCTCGTGGGAATACAAGCTATGCACAAAGATACCGGTTTTTTACTCGACAAGATGTAAGGACTGGACTGACATGGAAGATACCTCTCAATAGATCTTTCAGGGATCACAACTCCCCATTTTGCATATGGGGTGCAGTTATGGGTAAAGGAAGATACCTCTCAATAGAGCTTTCAGGGATCGCAACTCCCCATTTTGCATATGGGGTGCAGTTATGGGTAATTCCCCTAACTGGGAAACAGTATAAAATGAAGGAACACAGGGAGAAATCCCCTATACCCTTCTTCTCTCTCTCCTACCTGCTCCACAACTCGATGTTAAAAGAACTATTTGGAAAGGCCTTATGTANTGCTCAAATATTTTAATGTTTTTTTCTCCAATTACAAATATTTGGTGAAATTTGATATTTTTTTCCAAATACATAGGGTCTGAGAAGGTCTGCCAGGCGCCTAAGAGCACATTTCAGACCCTTTCAGACCCGTAGATTCTACTCGGGTTGTTACTGAAAAAAAAAACTTTTAAATAGTGTCTAGGTAAAGGTATCATACCTTTCCACTGGAATTTTAAACAATTTATTGGCTTTTTCTCCGGTCATTGATATCTTGGAAATGTAAGACCAATACCAATGAATAGCTAATAGACTATTTACCCACAAATTACCCAAATAAGTGAACGGTCCCTTTAACTTAATCCGTTTAATTTATAGACATGGTGTTTTATTTTTAATTGTATTTTTCCAATTTGTCTAAACCTTTTTCTAACAATCGATAGATCTTGAAGCTATTATTAAACGAACTATGAATAAATGTATTTATATGTATTATTGTTGAAACAAAACATGTCACTTTAGCACAGGACTTTTTTCAGTAGATTTTAACATTGATGTAGAAAAGTTAAAACTTGCTAAAAAAAATTAAAGTAAATTACAAAGTAATGATAAAAGAAAAATAATTGAATATGAAGAAGTTTGTTTAAACTGCATTGATACAACTAATGACAATGAAGGAATTTTCTTATTATTTTATTCCTGATAAAGTGGCATTTTCTTTAAAGCAATTCAAAATAGGAAAGAATTTTAAATAAAAATAATAAACTTATTTACATTAGCCAAAAAAAAAACCATAATAGTAGAGGTTTCTAGACATGTAGTCTTGTATTAATGATGGTTTTCATAGTTCTTAGATATTGAATGTTATGTTGGTTCACTCAAAAAAATAAGCGGATTTGGTCTATCTGTTTGACAAGCTGTAGCAAAAAAATATGGATATATATATATGCATACGAGCGAAGAGCTTTATTATATATTTTGTAACTAGAAAATAGTCGAATTATGAACGAATCGTAGTCTATTTTTACAGAAAATGCCTAGAGATTTAGTTTTTTCAATTGATTTACGACTATAAATGTACTTTGAACGTTTTTAGACATTTATTATAGTTATGAAAAATACAACTTACAAATTTCTTAAAAAATTGCTACCAATAAATACTGAATCAAAATCAATTTAAACACTTCCTGGAGAAATATCATTTTTTTCTTTAAAGGAATTTGTTTTTATTTTTTCCTTACGTGATAATTTACTGTGAAGAAATTTAGATTAAAAATCTTTGTCAATTTTTGTCAATATTTGTTTAAACATTCCTATATCTATATGATAAAACAAGACATTCGTATATATATATAATATATATGTTGCCAATAGCCGGCCAAACGCTTGGACCGATAGGGCTGACATTTTTTGTGGACACTCATGGGCGGCCGGGGGTGTGATAGGCTGAAAAGAAATCTAAATTTATTTATTTTTATTCTACGGGCAACGCCGGGCCCTTTAGCTAGTATGTTCATAAGACCAATAGAGACATCTTTGAACTTGAATGATATTGCTATTCATGTAAGAATAAAATCATTTCATGCCAAATTACTGGGACGTTTTTGCGCCCAGCCACGCAAATTTTTATTCTTCATCCTAGAAGAGGGATAAAAATTTTAATTTTTAAAAGATTACAAATTCGATTTGATCTAAACGTCAATTTTTGTAATTTAATTGGTGTTTCTATTTTTAAAATTGGGTTTAAAGGTAGTGTCCGCGAAAAATTAAAGGGGGTGTAGGCTTAATGCGATAAAAAAACGCTTTTGATCGCTACTAATCTTACTTCTATTTGTTGCGTCTATAAGGAGAAAATTGTTTAAAACGACTCATACCGAAGAACGCAGCGTCCACACAAATTCAGAAAGATGCAACTCGGATCGTAAACAAATCAATTTAATTCCAAAAAAATTATTCAGTTATTACTAACAGTAGTCATCGATTATTTTTCGACGCATTCGTAAATTAATATTTTAGATTTTTTTTAAAATAATTTTCGCTGACGCTTGATTTTCGAACATTCCTGGAAAATATGAAAATGTCGTCTTCATTATCAAAAATCCTCGAAACAAGAATAAATGTTTTCAAAAGTAACTCTGAGATCATGAAAAACACAAAATATTATGAAATATCAACTATTTACGAATGCGTCGAAAAATAATCGATGACGATTGTTTGTATCTGAATGATTGTTTGGAATTAAATTGATTTGTTTACGATCCGAGTTGAATGTTGCATCTTTACCCCTTTCATTTTTCGCGAACCCTCCCTTTAAGTGTATCTTTTATTAAATAATCATTTTAAAGGGACAATCAGTATAATTTCAAGTGACTCTCCATGCAAAGATAGCAATGCCCGATTTACAACGTAACCCTTGAAACTTTAACACCTGATCAAAATTGTGTTAGCTATCGTCGTTTTTCTGACTTAAAAAATGTTTTCTTCTTTAAGATTTCTCCATTGCTTCTTATGATCAAGAAATGTACAGGTCAGTTTCCCTGAAAGCCTAGTATAAATAAAATACGCGTTCTTTAAATTCGTTTATTTTTAGTCAAGTCTTTAAAAAATATTGAGTTAATGATACATTTTAAGTAAACACTAAAATAAGGAGCATTTATAGAGAAAGGTATACAGTGAGACGGTGAGACCCATTTAAAATAAAAAGGCGATTTTTAGACTCAAGTTATGATTATGATAATTAGTCGAGTGAACATGAGAAAAACAGCAAATATTTGCTTTGAGTTTCTTCAATCTTCAAGAGGTATCAGTGAAACCAAGAGGGAGTTTCCAAATATAGTCCGTTTTTATTTTAGACTACAGTCCCTTATTATAAAAGAAGGTTTGTGGAATCTCGGCTCCATATTTAGTCTCTAGTCTCTCATAAGCTTCAGGATCTGAACTCCTAGTAAATAATTACAGGGTTACTCACAAAGCATGAGACTGTAATGACGACATAAAATTCTTTTAATATGAGAATCCCGTCGTTTTATTTTGGTTTCTACTTAAAATGAAGTTAATAAGTCACACAGATTTAACAGTTTGGTCCATTTCCCAGTAAGCTGCGACTTTCGATCACAATTTGACCTATTAAACATACATATTTTAATTATATTCTTTAAACTGTGTATGGCGGGTGCGTTTTGAAAGAAAAAGAATAAAGAACTCCGTAAATTTAAAGATTGTTGAATTTTAGACCTAAACGGGATTGAAACAAAATTGAAGAAACCAAACGCATCATATCGCCCTGGTTAGTTCCGTGTGAAGCGGTATATTTAATAATCAGGACTTGGCAAAGAAAATAATAAGTCTAATGGAACATTGAACTAGTAAACAAAAGACTCAATTAATTCAGTACACATGTCGTCTCTGAAGTCGTATCCTTTGTGGGTAACCCTGTATTAAGTGTATATGCTTGTGTGTGTCATTAAACATGGGAATTGAGAGACAATTTCGAAATCGATGTTATGCATGATTTTTTACTTATATTGTTATACTGTAGAAGAGCTGAAATTTGTAGAATTTTTCGTCTGCTACAGACACATCAAACAGTCTTGTCATGTACCGACTACCGATTTCATTTAATAGTAGCTTGGGAACCAGGGAGTAAGGAATAGAAGATATAACTGACGCGGTTCGCCCTACCATATGATTAAATACATGCTTTGCAGACTGTACTTCATTTGTATAAGAAATATTTGTCTGATTACAATTACAGCGTATACAATGACCTTTTCTGCCTTTACTCTAATGTATTTTTCCAGGCTTTATAAGCTGAACCATCAGCCTTTATAGGGATTAAAATGACTGTTAGTGTGATTACTGAGGTCGAAATTATTTAAAAGTAAATCCATGCAAATAGTGAAAAGTTGTTGAACTCTGGACGAACAGCGGAACTACTGCTTAAAAAATATGTGCCCAGAACACTTAGATGTGACCCAGGTTAAAACTTACTTTAACTGTTTTGCCGATATCTGAGCATCTTGTGGGAAGAGAGCACAGGCAAACGGAACCATGACCAGCAGGAAACATCCTACTCCACCAACCTTCATCATTAAATATTGTTAATATATATTTATATATATAGGAGACTTCGTCGCAGCCATTCTTAAATTCCACAATACACAGTCCATGCAGGATTTACTGCTATTTTCGGTTAAATAGACTTGCACCATGGCTCATTCCGGATTTTATATTTTATTGTTTAAAATAAATTTTTTGGCAAAATTCCATAAATAATTGCAAACCACTAGCTGGTTTTTATTGATTCCAATTGAAGTAGTAGACTCATTAAACCTAGGAGGATCAATAATGATCAATTTTAGGAAAGTTTGAAAAAGGGACTGAAAAAAAGAATTTGCAATTTTGAATTTTTGATGAGCCATGATAAGCTGGGAGCTGCCGACCATAGCAGTGTTGATCGGGATGTACTGTTTGATCGGATCCTATCCTGTTGGACTGAATCCTAATAGCTATTAACTTTTAGTAATAGTATTTATTCAAATTTCTTTCCAACAAACGAAAGTATTTTTTTTTCTAGAAAGCTAATATAAGTTTTTCTTAATTATAAAAAAAAAACTTGCAAATCAAGTATTACAAGCATTTTTGTAGATTAATAATGATTTTCCTTGATCAATCAAACGTTTGAAGGGTGCTCTTATTAATAGGACACACCATAAAAATGAGCGTATTCCTTCTTTCAATTCGTTCATTTATCGATCATTGACAACCCCTTTCGTTAGTTATTGTTCATTGTCAATGTATATCGTTCGTCCAATATAATCTTTCGTTTATAAAAATTGTTCGTTAGGTTAGGTTAGGCTAAACTGTATATAGGGAAGGTTTGGAGCCCGGAGGGCTTATGTCCCTACTTCTATACTCCGGTATACATCTCTAGACCCTGTCTGTTATCCATTTCGAACAAAATATTTAGATATACGTGTGAAATAGACGAGCAAAATTTGTCCTATCAATAATTCCAACTAGCAACCACGTTAAACTAAAGTAAATTCCAACTAGAAACCACGTTAAACTAAAGTGAATTCCAACTAGAAACCACGTTAAACTAAAGTAAATTCCAACTAGAAACCACGTTAAACTAAAGTGAATTCCAACTAGCAACCACGTTAAACTAAAGTGAACTATACGTAAGATTGAAAAATTAAATCACAACTCCTCATATTGAAGACATTAAAAGATATTGAAAAGAACAAACAAATATTTAAATTTCTAATATCATAATATATATATACAATATGCAACCAAATAAATTTGCATTTCTTATACTTGTGCATGAAATCAAAGTTAGAGGAGCTACGAGGTCACCAAGTTGTACCTTATGTTTAGTATAGTTTGCAGTGCAACAAAAAGGATAGCAAAATAAAAAAGAAATTGCTAACTAAGAAGTAGGACCCGTTTCAAAGATTAAAACCAATTATTTTTAATTTTCTTCTAAACTATAAAATGTTTTCTAAATTCTTTATTTAAGAATTTTAGGAAAAAACGTGATTTCTTATTTTTAATAATTTTATTTTTCTCAGAAATCAAGAGTCTCATTAAAAACAGTCTTGTTGGTAAAATACAGGGTGTCCCACAAAACATGACAGTGAAGTTCTGAATTCTCAACCACATTCTTTATATACAGTAATTTTGAAAGTGCAAAAAAAGGCAATTCCAGGGACCAGGACCAGGGATATTTTGTATTTAATAATCTGATAATTTTGCTTCTAATATGGGTTGGATGAATAAATGTCACAATTTCTCACAAAATAACCAAATTCAAGTCGTCTCTCAAGTGTTTCGTGGGACACCCGGTATATTTTGATAATATCTTGTACAATTGATTAATCAATTTAATTTTTGATTTATTAATTATCAAAATTACAAAAATAAATCATAAAAGACCTAGAAAGGAGGAAGAATGTTTGGTTAATCAAATTATTTAAAACACAAAGCCCAACCAACAAGTAAATGGCAAATCCGAAAAACCTACATTCAAAGGGTTAAAATGGGTTTTAAGATTTTCAGACTCACTGGACCAAGACCTCTCGTTTACTGTGAGGGGGGGGGGAGTTCATATCTGAAACATGAAGGTATGGGGGGGGTTCTAACCTGAAAAGGAGCATGAAGGTATGAACGAGACTTGAACCAATGTTTTCTCTCCATTTTCTCCATTATCAATGGTAGAACCAGCATCCCAGGGGCAGCCATCACTATACGGGAACTAACAACCTTAAAGGGAAAGTAAACGTAAATCCTGATCCTCCATTTCACAAAATCATGTCCTATTCACAAAAATATTCTTTTTACCTCTGTATGAGTAAAAATGAGGCGAAAAGGGTTAAATTCAGACAATTTCCTTCATTGTATCTGCAGCATAAATCCGCAAGTCACTTTTAAAGAGAAATCACAATTAAAGATAACCGGTTTACAGCTAGGAAAACGAGGATACTTCATTCATTCTAATTCAATCAATTTAACAACATGCTTTTCACTTTTGGTACTGTGAATGTGATTTTTTTTAAATAATAAAAAATAAAAGATGTTTTAGTCTTTAATAATTCATTATTTTTATTGTAGTTTCTCTACAAAAGCGACTTGACACTTGTTGTGTAAAAATAGAGAATATTATCAATCAGAATTAACTCTTTTCAAGATAGAATTTTGAAGTTAAATAAGGTTTTAAATTTCAATTTTTTTGGCCTCCATGTTATAATTTCTCGGAAATTAAATTGATCATTTTTCTAATATTTTTAAGTTTGAATTCACAAACCCTTGATGGGCAGTTGGCTCAATTCCAATATTGATTAAGCCTATATTATATTTCTTTATTATATTTCTTTTTATTAACATCTTAAAAATGAAAGTAATTCTCATATTGTAAGAGTAAGTATATATCAATAATCCTATTAAAGAAATACCAAGTTATTTCCATTTTTAATCTATAATACCATGAAATGTTTTATTGTGTATATAAAGCACAGAAAATAAATGTTTGGCAAGCTATGGTAAAAAAAATGCCAAACCCTTTTTTTGTCAACTATTATTATTATTGAAGATTTATTTACACACACATTTAATATAATTATTGAAAAGATTTATAAAGCTTTAAAAATATTCAATTACAAATATAAGCAATAGCATATTGTGTGTAAGCAAATAGCAAATCATCTATGTATGTAAAAACGGGATTAGTTGCTAAAAAGTAAAAATTAATAAAAGATATATAACAAAAATTTCGCTAAAAATATTGGCGGAAATCTGCACCAAACTTTCCGAAATAACTATTTATAAGTTTTCCATATTTTGGATTACAACAAAATTATTTTAGTAAAAATGCAATTTGTAAATGATTTGGTAAGATTAGGTGAATATTTGCATTAATATTTTTTTCGAAATTTTTTTAATAGTTCTTTTTTCAGCAATGGATTTTTATGAAACTTTGGATAAAATAAACTCAAATTTTCCAATCGATTTATAAATAAACTATATTCGTATTAAAGATTTTATTTCCTATTAAATATTTCTGCTTTTTGTTCAAATTGTTTCGTTGTTATTCAATATGAACATTTAAAATGTTGAAAAGGTTTGTATATCAACACCAATCCCGTTATTTCTATTCGCCCTGTATTTATTGAGCTTGTACAGAGATAAACAGAAAACTGTGGAATAGTAAAACCACTGTTGGATTCAAGTTATGACTTTAAATAGTTCAATGAACATAAGACACAACAATTGTGTGGTGTAAACAGACCTATTTAACTTAATTAGTGATTAAGTTAAAAATGAACTATTTGCTTTGAAACAAAATAAAATACACCTAAAGTTTGCTATATAATGTTGTCTTCCTTTTTTACAGTTTTATAGTTATCACTGTCAATGGATATAAAATTTATTCCCGGTTCTTTTACAGTTCACTGAAATCTTTTTACAAATCTTATCTATTCTTCTAATAAAATTCTATATACGTATTCCTTCTGTATAAAAAAAAAACAATTTTTATATTTTCTAGACAACAATTAAAAATAAAAATATTTAATATTTTATTGTTTTGTGTACATAATTAAACCAACGTTGATCCCGTTTTTTTTTCTCCTGTTAAATGAATATAAGCTGTTACGGCGCTGCGAGCTCTTTTGTAATAACTATTTTAATTTTAACTCTTTACTTTTAAGTCGAAATTTTTCATCGTATACTCTGCAAAAAAATAAAATTTTTGCGAATTGTCTGTTTGAATTGGTTAATGGCCCTCCCCCTCCATTATAGAGAGGAATATCTGATTTACAGAACCTTATATTTTAAAAACAATGAGGAAAATATCAGTTTTTTTAAAATAAATCCATAAATAATAATAAATTCCCACAGTTTCCTCAATTATCTTCGCAGCACAACTCTGCAAATAACCTTTACAGAAAAAGTACAAATGAAATGCAAAAAATCTTGAGAAGATTAGCAAAAAATAGTAATATCACATTCCTCTTTGATCACAGAACATTGCGAATCGGACATGACCTATAAATGAAGACTCCTTTAAAAGTTTGCGTACAGTCCCTTTAAAAGACAACTTTAGCACACGCTTACTAAACATTAGTGGTAATTACCTGTGAGATTCCAATTTTTGCCGCAAGTTTAGATGTTCCGGCCCGATTCCCCTGCTCATCATAGATAGCTATACCATTGATCAGCTCATTCTGTCTCATCAAGGGGATATTCACCTTAAACAAAGGATTAAGGTGTATCAAAGGGATATATATTGATTTACCATTGGTCAGCTCATTCTGTAGCATCAAGGGAATATTCACCTCAAACAAAGGATTAAGTCATATTAAAGAATACAGATTGTTTTACCATTGATAATCTCATTCTGGCTCATCTAGGGCATATTCACTTTAAACAAAGGATTAAGTGTATCAAAGGGATGTTTATCTTAAACAAAGGATTAAGTTGTATCACGGGAATAATTACCTCAAACAAAGGATTAAGTGTTTTAAGGGGATTTTTATCTTAAACAAAGGATTAAGTGTTTTAAGGGGATTTTTATCTTAAACAAAGGACTAAGTGTATCAAGGGGATGTTTATCTTAAACAAAGGATTAAATATATCAAGGGAATGTTTATCTTAAACAAAGGATTAAGTGTGTCAAGGGGATATTAATATTAAACAAAGGATTAAGTGTTTCAAGGGGATGTTTATCTTAAACAAAAGATTAAGTGTATCAAGGGGATGTTTATCTTAAACAAAGGATAAGGTTGTATCAAAGGATTAAGTTGTATCAAAGGATGAGGAGTTTTCACTTTTTAGAAAAAACGACTTTCTTGATCTTTACTGATGAACAATAAATGAAATCGATACAAATCGTATTTGAAATGGAAAAAAATCGGATTGTTTAAAGTTTTTAAAATTAAAGCCAAAACAATTGTTTTTCGTTTCAAAAGGAACAAAAAAAAACAGTATTTTAAAAGTATATGGCTCAAAGTATGCCACTTTTGATAATTCTAAAAAACGAAAACTTGTTCGGAAATGAGGCTCTTTGAAAAAACCATAAGGCATATAATTTGACTTACAAAACTTCAAATGTAAATAAAATTAAGATTTAAGTAAAAATATTTTTACATGTCACTGCATGCAACATTTCAGTTTACCGTGTACTTGGAGGCTGCATGCAACATTTCAGTTTACCGTGTACTTGGAGGCTGCATGCAACATTTCAGTTTACCGTGTACTTGGAGGCTGTATGCAACATTTCAGTTTACCGTGTACTTGGAGGCTGCATGCAACATTTCAGTTTACCGTGTACTTGGAGGCTGCATGCAACATTTCAGTTTACCGTGTACTTGGAGGCTGTATGCAACATTTCAGTTTACCGTGTACTTGGAGGCTGTATGCAACATTTCAGTTTACCGTGTACTTGGAGGCTGTATGCAACATTTCAATTTACCATGTACTTGGAGGCTGTATGCAACATTTCAGTTTACCGTGTACTTGGAGGCTGCATGCAACATTTGAGTCTTCTATTTTAATTGTTAATACCAAATCAAATACCAAACGCCGCACAAAGTGTCGAATTCATGATTAAAAGCAAAAGGAAGAATACAAGATTTCCACTGTTTTCTGGTTCTCACTGTAATAGATATTTTTAATGCCCCCCCCCCAAAAAAAAAAAAGAATGACCAGCAACTGTGGCTCTGTTACAAATATATTTATAAATCTATGGACGGTATTTGTTCTTAAAAACTTCAGATGGAATTTTTCATTAGGTAATGTCAAAAACATTTTTCTTGGAATAATATCAAAAACATTTTATATTAAATAATGGCAAAAATATTTCTCATTAAGTTTTGTTCTAGGGATTTACAAAAACTACTTTTATGACACTCCTGGTTTATATAAACAACAAAAGTTACATGTGCTCTGTTTTTTTTTCTCTGTGTTGAAAACTAAATTCCTGAAATGTAAACGATTACCTTAAGTTAAGCTTAAACATGTGTTCGGAATATCGAAATGTATATTTTAGATTTTCAAATTTGTGAAAAGAATTGAGTTTTTGTCACACACTAAATTGTCTAATTCCGTTATCTTTGCAGCCTGATGTTGTAAACATTTTTGCAGGTTGATGGTGTAAACCTTTAATATTTCAAACTTAAATTATTTGATCGAACAGAATTTATATTTGGAATAATTTAAGGTCTACGATATTGAGTTGCAAAATGTTCTTTGACTTTAAACTATAAACTAGTTTTACACCATGCAATCCTTCTCACACATAAGTCCATTTTAGTTAAGTGACAAACGGATTAACAATATTCTGTTTATAAGTTCCAAGCTCAGCTCCGGCCATATTTTTTTTTCAAATATCTAAGATTTTAAATTTCTAACCGACCTTTTGATAAGTTAAAACCAAATATTAAAATCTTGTTAGAAACTTTTCTAACTTTGACATGAAACCTGGATAATTTCAAAGCTTCTGAAAATTGCAAAACATTCAAATCTAAATATTTAACTTTAGCTTTTATAAGTTTTATTGACAGGATGTGAAACTAAACATATATATATCACATTTTCACATTGCTATGAAAAGTTGAATTGATGTTCAAGAATGGGTCGACTTTAAGGTGTCGCAACGTTTTGGCCTTTAAGGGAACTGAGGTTTTGCCACATATTTTGGTTTTAATCTTTATATCTTTGCAACCCGATGTCTTATCCCTTTTATTTTTTGCCACATACTCTGGTTTTACTTTTTATATCTTTGCAACCCGATGTCGTATCCCTTTTATTTCTCAAACTATGAATTATGTTAGTTAAAATGCTTTAAAATATCAAAGGTATACGCCAACAGGATGCAAAGACATATTAGATGAGAAAATTAAGTTTGTGGCAAAGTCTCAATTCATTTAACGCAGCCTCCCTTTGGTATAATAGAAGATACCTACACAATTAGCTGAAGCAACTGCAGCAAAGGGAACAAATCGTTGAATTAGAGTTGAGGTACTTCGCTCACATATCTTTCTCAATCCTAGTTAAAGGGACTGTAGACAGAATATAGTCAAGAAAGGGACTGTGTACAACCACCTTAATAAAATTTAATTGTGGTTTCTATAGAAATGACTTATGCAGCATAGACAAGAAAGCAAATTGAGAGACATTTAAATTTTTCAAGACAGAGAACCCAGTATCTCTTTTTTATGGGAAAGCCGAAACAAGGGCTGTATTGCACCGTCATGTTGTGAATTGTGCATGCAACGCTTTCAATTGAGAGTTAAATTGAAATTATGTCAACTCTCCTTTAACAGTTGTCGTAAAACGGCTATATAATTGATTATACATTTACCTTTCTCTAAAATTTTGTATTTTTCTGAATCAACATGATTAAGCGCAATGAATGTATTCTTGAAAATGTTTTGATTATTTGAGAAGCTGATTAGATTACCAAGAAATACCATGTTTAAGAAATTATAAATTTTGGAGAATGAATGTAAAGCCCAATGAGTGTTGTACACAGAACTAGACAGAAGTGAAAGGTTAAATTTAAGTGACACTGGTACGATGTGACCTCGTAAGTTCTCAAGTTTTTATTTTCAATACAAGTATTAGAAGAGCAAATGTTAGAAATTCAAAACATTTTGGTTCTTACCAGTAGCTCTTTGATAAGAGAAGAGTTGTTAATTGTGATTGCAAATATATAAGATTTTAAACATATGTTATAACCTGCCTTAAATCATATAAAAAACATAGTAGTCCTTCATCAAAGGTAAAGAATGATATTTCAATTAAAGAAAAAAACCATGAAAAATAATTTTTGCATTTAATATCGTAATATTTTTACTATATAGTTGTTGGTTTTCAATAGTTTTGAGCAAATAAAGACTTGGAGCCCATATATTCTGTACAGAATTTAATAAAATTGTGCGCAAGTTTCTCACTGAGTTAGTTTAAATTTCCAAAAATAAAAATACCAAAATGAAGACAATTTAACGAATGATATATACTTTGGTGAAAAAGAAATCATCGGGAGCGGTTGAGGTAAAGCCTAGACTCTAGGCAGTCTAGAATAAGACATGCACCTTTCTTCTCAAATTTAAAATTTGTTCAACCTCTGAAATATTACTTTTTTTTTGTTATATTTTTATCCACTTTTTAAAACTCTTTTATAAGAGGTCAACCGCTAAGAAAATACATTTTTTGGCTTTCAACCGCTGGGTTTAAGATTTTCAACAACTTTTTGCTATCAACCAATGAAACAAAGTTTTTTTAAAAAAACTTTTGTGCTTTCAACCGCTGGTTTTAACATTTTTTAGTAACTTTTTTGATTTCAACTGCTGAGTTGCTTATAACCACAGGAAAACAGTTTTTATGAAAAACCTTTACTTTCAACCGCTGGGTTTTAGATTTAAAATAACTTTTTTATATTTCAACTGCTGGGTTCCACATTAAAAAGACTTTAGGTACAACTTTTTTCCTACCCCCTGGAATCCTTTTTTTTTACATATTTTTTACAAAATGATTTTTGCTTTAATTGATGGTCCAACTCTTTTTCTGTAACTTTTTCTTCTTTCAATCACAAGGTTTCATGTTTTTTTACAAAAAAATTTTGGTTTAAAATTTTTTTCATTCAATTGCTGGAATCTTTTTTTTACCAAATATATTTCCCTTCATTCGTTTGATTCTTTTTGTAAAACATTTTCTTCTTTCAATCGCAAAAGGTTCCACATTTTTAACAAACATTTCTGTTCAATTTTTTTCCTTCAACCACTGAAATCACATTTGTTATTTATTTTTTTGTTCATCCGCTGGTTTACCTTTTTTTATAAAACTTTTTCTTCTTTAAACTACTAGGTTTCATATTTTAAAAAAAAAATTTTGGTTTAAACTTTTTTCATTTAACCGCTTGAAACAAAATTTGAGAAAAAAAGTGTATTTCTTATTCTAGACTGCGTAGGGTCTAGGCTATAGATATCAACCGCTCGTTCAACTGCTCACGCTTAGTTTTTTTCTCCAAGAGGTACATCATTCCAATTTAACAAAAATTTTGAGTTTTCTAAAAAAAAATCACAAATTAATGAAATAAAACTGCAAAACAAATATGTTTAATAAGTTCTCCTTTTGGTCGAAAACGCTTTTTGATCCACATAGAGAAAAAAAACTCATTAATATTTTAAAGGGAATTCTTCTTAATTGTTCAGGTTGAAGAATTGCGATTTCTGAACCATGTATATGCTCAGAGAAAGAAGGTGTAAAAGGTTCACATTTAAATCGGACATGCTACTCATTACAATTAAGAATACAGTTCCTTTACTAAGACAAATTAAAAACAGACTTGTTCAGTTTACCTATTGCAGTAGCTAGCGCTGAACAAGTAGCAGAAGTATACGCTACACCCAACTGAGCTGTAGTTGTTGGTGAATCTGCATTTCTATTTGTATAATTCACCTGCAAATCATTTTTTTAAATCATTGGGGGAGAGAAATTGTAAAGGTAATTTCAAGTTACCCTCCTCGTAAAGATTGAAAAGATTTGCCTGAATTAAAAAACTATGTTTTTGTTTCTTTAAACTTTTTATTTTTATTTGCGGTGACTTGATTTCTTGCCTATACCAAATAATGGATAATTCATAGAAAAACGACATATAATATCTTCAACACCTTTGATCATAGGTTTCAAGAGTACTGTTGTAAATCAGACATTGTCATCTCTGTTTGGAGGGTAACTTGTAACTCGTGCGTACAGTCTCTGTAAGGAATCTTCTTTAGGGCTTTTGAGTTTAATTTAGAAATGGTAACTCAAATTTTGAGTCTAATTTAGAAGTGGTAACTCAAATTTTGAGACTTAGAACTTTCTATTAGAATAAAATCTAAATTATTATCAACCTTTATTTTTTCCTCCAATAATTTCCAAAGTATTAAACAAAATTAGATGTTTTCACTTAATTCTAGATTCCAAATCCTAGGAAATCATAAATTTAAGAACTTTTTTTTTAGTTTGTGTAGAGAAACCAAAATATTAAAAACTAATGAGTTTTCAAAATTTGAAGTATTTGTATTTCATACATACTGGAGCATACACAGATTTTAAGGATACCGTTGGTACTCGGGCATTGACATGTTATAATTGAAGGCCACTTGAAATTATGTTTACAATCTCCACTAGAATTTAGAAAAAAAACATCAAAATTACAGAATTTATAAAAAAAATCATTTTTTATTGACTGCTCTCTTATAGTTTAAATGATTAGTAGACCTAATACAGTCAATGTTTAGAACAGAAGCTAGACCAGAACAAGAAGCTCGACCAATCAGCCTCTTGATGTGGTTTTAATAAAATATCATTCTTTTAGGTAACCCTGCATTTAACTCACACATAGGAGCAAGAAAGGGTCGTGCAAAAAATAAACGGAAAAGGATTGGCAAGAAAAAATCGAATCGAACATTTTTAATTTCAAGATTTTTCTTTGTCAATATTGGATCTTTAAAAAGTATATATTGTTTTTGAAACTGAAAGTTCTGTAATTCTTACTCTTCTGACATGAGAAATCATAAAAGTGTTGAATCTTAATTTGTTGAATAATTTCTCAATTAAAGAAACCCTTAGAAGTTATTAATGAATATAAACAATCAGTTCAGTCATCTGTTCATCAGTAATCAGTGATTAGAAATTGATAAAATGATGGTAAATTATGTCAATACGTTCTAAACATTTTTTCGTTGTTTTGCATCTTACACCCCCCCCCCAAAAAAAAAAAAAAATTCTGAAAAACGAACAAAAGAATTTTGATGAAATCATAGAATTAGTATTTCTATCTTAAAATTGATAATTATACACTGCAGATATGTGTAATAGTCACAATTGTCCATTTATGAAGCAGAGACAATAGGGAAATTGAGAGAATTTACATCTTTTCCAGAAAGAAAAACAAAAATATTTTCCTCGTTTGGATTTAAAAAACGAGGAAATAATTAACTATACGCAACGTGCCATCTACTAAACTTCTGACCTGCTTACTTTCCGACCTACTGCAGCTGTTTATTAAGTATTATTAAGGGTTATGTTAAAATAAACCAATTTCTGGACTAAGAACTGCGTCTCAGACAGTCTAGGGGGCCGATCGCTTCTGCAACTATCAGCTGTACAACCATATGCGAGTAGGTCAGAAGTTTAGTATAGCAGATGTGAGTAGGTCAAAAGATACACCATCATACCAAAGCGTTGAATGATTGATTGAACCACTGCCAAAAGACGACTGCTGGTACACTCCGGTAGAATTGAAGCATTGCTCCGGTAATGAGCATTCCTCCAGGCATCTGGAAACAAACAGACAGATTTCAACATTTCAGATTTTAGCTTTTAAGAGAGCTAAGCGCCTCCTTTTCTAATCATCAATTTTAACTTTTAGCTCTTGCTCTTCAAGTCCTCGATTTTCCTTCGTTCTCCAAAAAAATAATTTTTGCGATTTATCTGTTAAATTTGTAGCATTTTTAAAATAATAAATGTCGACATTTATTTCTAGGCAAAATTTGTCCACTTAAAACAGCCATACTTCTTTCTTGGCCCGGGTCATATTTACATGTGAGTTACCACACAAAAGTTAGGCACAATCAGCTATAGGCAGTTTTGAAGTTTATTGGATACAAACCAACAGTTTAGCTCCCTCAAGAAATGGTATCTGCAAAAACTGCTTAAATTTTAACTTATCAGGAAAAAAAAGTAAAGTCAAACTACTTTGAGAAGTTTAGCTACTGTTTGACTGTTTGGAAAGACGCGGAAAACTTTGGGTACCTAAAAAAAGCGAACAAAAATGTTCTGCTCACCAATAAAAAAAATTGGCCATCTAAAAAAAGAAAAATAAGTTTGACTATACCTGGAATGACATCCTGCCGAATATGTTCTGAAGTTCACCGGTATCAGGATGGAACGCTGACCGATACAGTTGCATAGCGTGCTTAACCTTAACAGACACATGAGCTAACGATAAAAACAATCAAGAACTGTTTGCTGGTTAAGAACAAAGTTTGTAAATAAAAATATGATTTTTATGTCGAAAAAAATAGTATTATTATGTACAGTAAAGAAATTTGTTTGTCGGAACTTTAAGGAGGGGCATTTTTTTCTTATTTAAAAACAACGTTTATTAGATTTGGAAAAATAAAAAAACTTGATTTAAAATTCGGTGATGGTGATGAACCAAACCTCTAGTAAAAAAAAAACAGATGTTAGTTCCACATTTATTGAAAATATATTACGGTCTGGGTTGATCATCGTCAGTTCTAACAATAAAATAACCATCAACAAACTCGAAAAAAAAAGTTGTTAAAAACCACAGGAAAATAAACAAACAAAAAAGGTTATTTAAAAAAAAATTTGGTCTGTCAAATGGACAAAAGGGAGACGAACTCAGATCATGAGATGGAAAAAAGATAACTTGAAAATATTCACTGTTTAAAAAAATGTTTTAAGATAATTATTATTCCTTGAGATTGTTTTTTCACAAAGATTAAAAACAAACTGTTTAGATGTATGTGTGTAAAGTGGTGGTGAGGGTCGATCTAATTAACGAACTTTTACGTAAATCGGGGGGTGGGGATGGTGAGGGGGGGCGGCTTGATTAAGGAGGGCCGGTATTAAAACCTTTTAAACAATTGGACATAAACAATAATCTTTTTTTAAAACAAAATACTGAATTACAATTTACAATTAAATAAAAACTATTTTTTCTGTTCATTCCTCTGAGTTCAGTCATAAAATCTCTGATGTATTTAGATTCTCGAACTTCAAGTAAACTTCTCCCAAGGTCCCAAACCTTCTCTAGAACGCTAACTTTTAGATGGTAGAGTTCATGTCCAGGAAGGTTAAAATGTTCTCCTGTAGGCTGGTTTGTATGGAGATTTCTACTTGAAAAGAGAGTATAAACCCACTTTTCATAAGCTTCAAAGTAATGCATTTCTCACTAATACAGAGGATCTCATATGAGAAAACAGACAAAAAAATTAAGTAAAAATTATGGTTTGCAGTTTAGCTTTATTTCACAAAATTTAAAACAATATCAATTTATTATTTTTTTGGATTCGTTTCTTTATTAAAAAATGGTTTGGTAGTTTTGAAAAATCCAAAATGAAACATAAACGATAGGTTTTTCCATTGGTTTCAAAAACAATGCTCATCCCTACATGTACGGTAGTTTCTTGGAGTAATGTAAACACAAGCAGTGCTGTGACACTGTCCAGGCTAAGCTTTGTTTACAATCTCTCAAAAACTGCAGTACACTTTATTTCATAGTTTACCTGCTCTTGTGTAGTTCCTGGGGGTTCTGTTCCAGTTCTATAGCTCACAACTATACTCTTTGCTGATTCTACGGATTCCAGGGGATGTTAACATATTGCTATTATCATATTTGCGATTAAACCAACTAGTTTACAGTGTTTAAAGTGATAATATACGCTAACTCTTTATTAATGTATAGGCCGAGAACTATACCGAAAGCAGGGTTCCAGCGGAACGGAAAAATCGTTTAGTGCAGAGCTACTTATATAGATCAGTACTATAATTTTTGCTTTCATTATAAAGGATATTTTTTTAATCTAAAAGATGATGTAATCCCCTTCCCTAATTCTTGAGTAGAAACAAGTCCGTTTATTGGATTTGACATCCAGGCAAAATGTCGAAACCGACCTAAAAATATAAAATATAAAAATATAAAATATAAAAATATAAAATTAAAATAAATATTTCTTTAATCTGATTTAAATGATTAAAAAAAGAAAAAAGTTGCAATTTAAACAAAAAATTATGAAACGCCAGCCGCAATATTTGTGTAAACCCTCGTTTTAGACAGACAAAAAAAGATTGTTCAAGTGCTCTTGATGATGCAATACTTATTGCTCATGCCATTTGAAATATACAAATATTTTTGCAAAACCTTTTCACACAATTAAAAATGAAAGTGGAAAAACCTTATTTCGTTTTTAACAAACATCGGATGTGAAAACTTGACATTAATTAACAACAAAACTCACTTGATTGAAATTAAAATATATGTATATTTGTGCGGACAAACTTAGCAATAAAGTTTTACAAATTTACTTCTAATAATTATTTTAATAACTATATATAAGACAAAAACACTTTTCTCCTCAGAAAAAACAACAATATCTTCCTGATATATACTCAGATTAAGGTACAATTGTTATTGTAGTTAATCCGTCTTGCATCTTTTTCAATCTACAGATTAATTTAATCTTTATCCAATGGTAATCGGACTCTGCAGGAATAACTAAAATGAAGAATTAAGCATTGATCTTTAAATTAAAAGTGCCCGAAGTGAATATCGAAATTAAGCTTTCTGGATTATGGAATATGGGTATCCAACAGATAAGTTCCCAGTTTAGTTGTGATTAATAAATGTTTACCAATAAAGGTTGCTTGGTCCCAGAGAGGACTGTCTACATCTATTCTTTCATGCATTTTATTCTGTAATAAATATATTTCTTGAAAATAATGCAATTATTAACTAGCATTGAAAACTTAATAAATACATTTTGATTTAATATCGATTAATTTAGATAAAGAACATCTAGTTAAGAGATGAGAACAGATATAAGTTAGAGATATCGAACAACGTTTTAACTGGACATGATTCAGTGTTCAGAAAAGTTGTTAGCGTTTAATTTATTGCTACACAATATTGGCTCTTTGCAACACTGTATATCATCATTTATATTGTCCTTAAATGATCTTAGTATTTAGTTCTAGATCATTATTATACACTTGGCTATCCTTGGGATTCTCACCCATCTGAAAATTCACCTTTATATTGTTTCTCAATCTTTCAGCTTTTTCTCTTCGATGAAACAAAAATAAAATATTTTTGCGGATTTACAATTTTGTTTTCGTGGATTTTCAGAATTTTACTAAAATTCAAATTTTTTGAGAACTTTTAGTGATTCTGAGAATCCTAAACCTTCCTCGGGGTCGTGTACGGTTATTGAAAACAAACGGACAGACAGACACAAAGACGAGCAAAGTATTTATATATATCACTGCGATTTAATGGTCTCACGCTCTCAAGCAAAAATCGTTGAGAATTTTGCCAATTACTTCTAAAAAACCAAATCTAACAAGAAGTGCTTTACAGTGCTAAAATGTACATGTAAAGGGCTACAGAAAAGCATAAGTGAGTATATATATATATATATATAGATCTTTTAAACTTTGTGAAATTAAACCACATCAATCTGTGATCATTGCTAACTGCTTCGTGAATATTTAAAACTTACATTAATGAAAGTATACAGTGAGACCCATATAACTCTGGAAGAGGAAGGTGAAATTAAACAATCTTATGTATTTAATCTTGTTATAAAGCAAATAGTTTTATCAGTAGTATGAAAATCAATTGATCAAGAAGATATTGAATAGAAGGAGGGGGCGATAGGGTTTCCGTACACTTTGCTGTGACGTTTTTGGACTGCTGAAGAACTAGTTTTTGCGTAACAACAATAATAAAGATTGTAAACAATTAAACAAATGATAAACAGACATCTAGGGGGGGGGGGGGCAGGATAACCTTGAATTTGATTGAAAATGTCTCTGTAATAAGGTCCTTTTCGTATATAACTAAAATCCTTAACTTTTTCAATCTTTTTTTTAACAAGATAATACTACTTTCACCGTTTACTAACTCATGTTTGTTAACATTAGATCGGCTGCCTTTGTTATTGTTGTTACGCGAAAACTAGTTCCTCAGCAGTCCAAAAATGTCACAGCAAAGTGTACGGAAACCCCTATCGCCCCCTCCTTCTATTCAATATCTCCTTGCAATTTATTCAGGTCCGTGTACACTGCACAATAATCAGGTTTCAAATGTATTTTATTATTTCTACTATTAAAAATCGTAACTTGTTTCTCACTGAGTTTCACAATCGTCTTTGTATTCCACAGTTTTATGTGTCTCAATTTTTAATAATCAATGAAAAATAAATAAACGTTTTACCGTTACAAAACTGTTCTTAAAGATGTACTATTAAACGTTACAAAACTGTATTTGACCCCCTATTTAAAGAGTTAAATCAGACAAGCATCTCTTCAAATACAGGGCTCTTAAGAATTATGTCAATGGCCAAGAAATGCGCGCTTTATTTCTCATATACTTAAAGCACTGCATCACTTTATAATATACAGGGTTAAGCACAAAGGATGAATGTATCTTCAAAGACAAAGTTTATACTGCAGTCTGTTTCCTTAATTTCATGATTCTCTAATCAGATCGTCTTTACAGTCTCCATCCTTTGTGGGTAACCCCTCATTTAGGAATTTTTATTAACCTTTTTGGAAGACGTTAAGAACTTAAAAAATCCAAAATTACAAAAACATTCTATCATTCTATATAACGCTTGTTTACGGAGTATTATGTTACACTTATATATTACAGTCTTGGTATGTTGCCGACTTTTGAATCTTTAGAACCATGTTTCTGTGAAGAGGCGTTTGATAGATAGATAAATTTTTAAACCTGTTTTTTCACCATTTTCATAAAACAAAATCTGTATTAAATGAAAAAACACTCACTAGACTTAAAGGGACTGTCATTATATTCTCACGTGATCTTAATTTATACAGTGACGTGTGCAATTTACAGTGGTACTTTTCTCTGATTAATAAAATTAAAGACGTTATGAATCCGACTTGAATTTTAGCCTACAGTCCCTTTAATAAAAGAAGAAAATCAAGTTTTAATAATATATTTCTCGAACAACTATTTCAGTAACATCGGTTAAAAACTTTTAAAAAGCTGAAAATGTTTTCAATAATTCCAATATTTCTGAAATTTTGGAATCAAAACAAAGTATCAGGCCTAACTTCTATCCAGGCCCTAATGCTAGGGATATTTCCAAGCCTATTCACCAAGTCTGCCAGGTTTGGGTATGCATCAACAACGTTCTTTTCCGGTAACTCAGAACAGAAGTTAAATACAAAAATATCGGCCCAGCTTAGTTTTCCACCGACGAAATACTTCTTGCCTCGTGAAACCAGCCGCTTTTCTAGATTTTGCAGAAGCTTGGGCAAAACTTCTTCATGGAATTTCTCTTGAAGATCAGTTTTTCTAGTTTCATCCTGCTCAAATAAGAATGCTTCGATCTGCTTTTCAGTGCCATCTTTAACAGCCTCCACAATCTCGTCCATTTTTCCATTTTCCAGAATATTCTTTCCACCCAAACCAAACTCATGAGCGCAGTAGCGCGCGATAGCAATAGATTGGGATATTACTTCCCCGTCAACTGATAGGATTGGAAGTTGACCAAACGGAGTTGATGGTTTTAGTTTGAACCATTTCTCCTGGTCGTCCCAAGGTGCAGGGATGCGCTCGTCCTCATAACCAATCCCTGATACTTCTAAGATGATTCTGATGGGTTCTGCTCTCCCCTTAAGATCGAAATATGTCAGCTTTAAGGAAGGCATTGTTAAAAAGTGTAATGTTGCGAATGCAGATTGCGCATTTTGTAAATTAATTTTGCGGATTTTTGCAAAATTTTCAAAAATAATTCAAGATTATAAATTATATATTTGAACAGTAAATGCGCTGAAACTAATTTCAATAAAACTGAATTCACTGATCGAAATTGAATACTTTCCATATACCCTCACAGAATGCAACTGAAACTCTTAAAATATGACGATTACCGGTCGCAAGGAACAGACTTTAGATCATTAAAATAAATATAGAGGATCAATTACTAGTCACCCTAAATTTAAAGAATGACACGTCTTATCCACAACGGTACCCATCTGTATGAACAAAACCGACAAAAATGTCTATTTAAAAATTGAGGTTTCTCAGCTTTAACTTTAACGATTTAAAACAATAATAAAGTAATTTAAAAAATTAAAAACTTTTAAAAAACTTCAATGCCTTTTCTATTGTTGTTTTGAATCGGGCATGCCATGGAAGGTTCACCTAACGTCGATCTACAGCCCCTTTAACCCACCCATGTTTGAGTAAGAATACTAGGATACTAACAAAACTGCGAAATGTCAGCTGATTCGGAAAATAGAAAGCCAGGACTAAGCAGACGGTTCAATTCATGTTCTATAGAAATTTAATCTGGGAATAAAATTCTAGGAATAAATATACATATATGTATTTGTAAAAACTTGAGAAGTAATTAGCACATTATTTTTATTCATTGTATCTCTTAATACCGAATATATAAATATATATATATATTATACAGGGTGTCCCATTGTCCCAATAAACATGGGAATTAAGAGACTACTTGAAAATCGTCTTCGATTTATGATAGTTGATACAATGAAAAACGGCAAAGTAGTATCATAAAACAGACTAAACAAACGTTCTATTGGCTTTTAAAAATGTGGCCGGCCATTAATGTATCTTCAAAATTGACGGAGATATTAAACGTTTGAAAGATTTCGTTGATATTTAATAGTTGGAAAATTTGTTTTTTGAAATTTTTAATTTGTTTAGTAGATCATTAACTTTTAAAGAAATGTTATTTCAGAGCTCTATTTTTTTGACTGAGATAAATGGTCTGGCCCAGCAAAAACCGCAAAATTGAAAGAATTAAAAATCAATGAATTGTATGTATGTTTTTCATGGAATTTTGGAAGATCCCTTATATTAATTTCTAACTGTTAGAAGTAGATATGTTTGAAAGGAATGCATCTAGTTATATATAAATAGTAAATACCGTCCTAGTATTTGTTTAGGGGGTAATTTAAAATTATGTTGAAAGTCCCTGTCATAGTTTATACTGAAACAAGTTTTCAAATCCCTTTAAATGCTTCTTCTTTTCTGAATAAGAAACTGAACACTTGATCCAACTCTAGTGTTCTAATCCTTAGATCTTTGCATCCCAATCTGGCGGATTTAATAGTTTGGTACATCTTAGAACTAGGAAATCAGGTTGAAAATACATAAAAATGCGAAAATTAGAATTTGAGGCAGGGGTGTTTGGCTTTTTGGCGGAAATTGATTCATCATAAACTAGAAAAAAAACTAATCTCTAATCCTTTGAAAGGTTTCGCGGATTAATTTAATAAAAATTATAATTCAAAAAAATATCTTATTCTCTCTCTAAGACAAAGGATTTAACATTTATTGAATAAATACAAATAAAGATATATAAAGATATATAATACATTGGGTCCCGATAGTATACAGGGTGTCCCAATAAACATGGGAAGTAATTGACGAATTCGTCTTTAAATGAAAATGAAAAGGAATTGAGTATTAGCCACAAATTCTGCTTTTCTAATCCCTATATCATAGCAACCTGATTTAGTAGACCTTAGATATTTTAAACTATGAATCTTGTTAGATCAACGAATCTAAGTTAAAAGTATCACTGTTATAGACTATCAGGTTGCAGAGAAAAAAAGATTTAAACATATGAGTTTGTGGCAAAGACTCAATTTCTTTGTCAGGCCTATCGAAAGTTTTTTTTAGTTCAACACTGTAGTGTCACTGTGTACACTGTACACTGTACACTGTACACTGTACACTGTACACTGTACACTGTACACTGTACACTGAACACTGTACACTGTACACTGTACACTGTACACTGTACACTGTACACTGTACACTGTACACTGTACACTACAGTGGTAACCAGATAAGAATGAAATGAGTATCGTATTCTTTCCTTCAAAGATATGTTTTTTAGAAATATGAACTGCTAGCTTTTCAAACACAACATATTTATATTTTTTACAAATAAGGTTTTTAGAACCATGTTCATATATTTTAGATAGATTTGGACAGTTGGTGGAGAATAAGGTTTTTAGAACCATGTTCATATATTTTAGATTTGGACAG